CACCGGAGACACCGGAACCGACCATTCGGACCGTCAACACGGCGGAAGACGACGAGTTGGAAGTCGAGGAGACACTCCCACCTCCACCCGAACCGAACTTGGAACTTCGGAAAGCGCAGTTACGAGACCCGCAGCTACGCAAAATCATTGACGAACTGGAAAATCCAGAAAAACTCGACCACAAGTCGAAACATCTGGAACATTACCAGATGGCGCAAGGAGTACTGTACAGACTGAAGACGATCAACACAAAGTTGGAACGTTGCTTCGTCGTACCACTCTTTATGCGAAATCAAATCATTCGATCGCTCCACGACGGAAAAACCGGAAACCACTTCGGTAGGGAGAAAACGATCGAGGCGTTGAGGTTGCGCTATTTTTGGAATAGGATGAATACCGACGACATCGCCTACATCGAGAAATGCCGACAGTGCATCATGGCGAACAAACAACGATGTCCACCACCGGGTAAACTTCAAAAGACAGAAGTCGGTGAAGCCTGGTATCGCATATACGCGGACTTTAAAGGTCCTCTTCCTCGGACGGAGACGAAGGGATACCAGTACATCGCAGTGGTAACCGACCAGCTGACGAAGTTCACCGTAGCCCGAGCAACGAAGACGAATACCGCGAGGGAATTCGAACGGTTCTTCGTCAAGGACGTCCTACTGAAGTACGGAATGCCGACCTTCATCCACTCAGACAGAGGGACACACTTTACAGCGAAGACGTTCGCTAAGGTCGCACGGATCTTCGGCATCCAACATACGCTTGGAACTGCCCATCATCCGGAAGGACAAGGACAGGTCGAACGGCAAATGCAAACGATTTGGGACGGAATAAGGAAGTTCTGCGATGTAAAAGACGGACACCGATGGCACAGAGCCTTGGATTATGTCGTCTGCGGAATGAACCGAGCCGTCCATGCCGCGACTAAGTTCTCACCGTTTTACATGATGTATGGTCGAGAGATGACCATGCCACAGGACATAGTGGCCGGAACGAACACACCGGAAACCTTCACGGATAAGGAACAATACATCCGACGGATTAAAGAACGACTTCAGCGCTCGCACGAGATCGCCCGCATCAACATTGATGAGGCATTCGAACGAAATGCTGAGCATTACAACAAGAAGAAGTCGAATCCGACCTTCAAACCGAGGGACAAGGTAACGGTGGAATTCCCGACCAAGGACCCAGCTCGGAAGGAACGCTATGATGGAGTTTGGACGGTCATCAACTATGTTGGCCCAAACAACTTGCTCCTCCGATGCGAAGACGGACGGGAAGATACGGTAGCCGTCGACCGAGTTAAACATTGCCGAGTCGAGACAAGTCGACCTGCAACTCGGTCAACCGGACCGGTAGCCGACCCGACGGAAGGAAAAGCTAATCGGAAGCCGAAGAAGAAACCAGAAGAAACCGTCGAAAAACCTTCGGATCCGACTAATGACGCGGATAAAACCGAACCGAAGGTGAAGAACAAGCGAGGTCGACCTCGGAAGAAACCTCCGACCGACTTCGAGACACCGGCACTGAAGGAACTTCAGAAGCAAGATGTGATAGCTGCCGACCCAGCACCGACCTCGGAGGAAGTCGACGAGCACAAAGCTCAGCCGACCACCGAGCAACCGAAGAAGTCGGATGATAAGTCGGAAACGCCGGTCCAGCCAGCCAACCAACCAACAGAGGAACCGAAGTCGGCAACAAAGCCAGCTCGGAAAAAGAGGACGGTAAAGAAAACCGACTCGTCGGCACCGACTACAGAAGTCGTTGTAGCCGACTCGGCAGTCCAACCGACCAAGCCAAAGCGCAAGTACACGAAGCGGAAGGTCGACTTACCTAGCACATCGGCGCCGACCACGGAAGTCGTAGCGGCCGACCAGGCAGTCGAACCGACTAAGCCGAAACGGAAGTACGGAACAACTAAGAAGCCGAAGCTGACGGCACAACAGATGCTGGAAGAAACAGAAGTCGCTGAAGATGAAGCCCATAAGGAAATCCTCGAACGAATTACCGAAGGACGGGCAGACTCGGAGAAACCAGTCAAAACAGCAAAACCCAAGACACCCAAAACAGCAGTCACAACAGAACAAACTCAGTCATAGGGCCATAGGTGTAAAACTTAGAATAAGTTTTAGGTAGCTTAACAATAGCTAGGTATAGATGGACCTTTGGTGTCGAAATGGAATCTCTTCAGTTGACCGGAACATCTTCAGTTGAATGTACGGGAGTTGGTAGAATTCTAACGCGCCGTATTTCCTTTCCTTGACAGCAAGCAACAATGTCAGGTCGTCACCGACACGACCCACCTTCCAGCGGATCGAACAGCGGACGCAGCGGCAGCGGATCGAACCGATCACAGCCCTACCCGACTACTTACACGAGTCATCGCTCGACATCGCGATCGGATAACTCGCGGTCGGCCACGCAGACGCCATTACCGCAGGTAGATAATCCTAGTGCTAACTTAACAGCTAATGTGTTAGCAGGTCTTACGGTCGGGCCCCAACGTGGAGCGATACCGCCGCAGGTTTTGCCACCGAACACAGCAGTCGATAACACAGGCTGCCTGTGGAATCTCGGCACTGGAACGGACGGATAGGATAACCGACCTCGACAGAAGGTCGGATAACAACGGAACAGATTGGATGGAAGTCGACTGGACACTTCCATCGCCGAAACTCATAAATTCCGACCGGACCTTCGAGCCAGTTCGACTCGGATTACTACAAACCAGGCTCGTGGTAGCAGATTGAACGGTTGTAACCGACCACTTTTGAACGGAACTGCTGTACATGACGACCACACAGGCCGCATGACTCACATACAGCTTTCTCCGACCTGGACTTTAAGAATTCGGAACATAGCCGAATTTCCCCAGCCGCCGGTCGACTTACCGGTAGGCCGACCTTGGTCAAACCGACCTCGGTTCTATTCCCCATTCAGAGAGGATGCCTCGGCATTTGCAACCGCAACAGTGCCTCTCTATCCCGAACGGACGGATACGGGTCGGACGTAAGTGTTTAACCGCGCTTATCCGACCTCGGTGAATTTAACCGGTTACGACGGGTAACCCGGGAACCGATGCCCCGGACCCAACTTACCGGATGAAATTGGACAGGAGACCCCGTGGAGACTCAACTGCCCCGTGGACGTCATCCTAGTCGAAATAAGACCCCCGGACAGATTTTTGCATTTTTTTTAGCATTTTTCCTAACAAACGGAATTGTATTTTTCTAGTTCGATCTCTTTAACAGATCTGTTTTTGTAACCCCTTTGCTCACTGGAATTGTGATTAAACTTTATTTCATACTTTCTTTCGCGCTGTATACAACTTTCATCACACTTTTCTTTCACATTGTTCTCCGTTGCCAACAGAAGCAAGAAGCCAGCCGCCAACAGAAGCAACACCGGTCCAACGAAACGCCCGAGCGGCTTCCGGATTTTTCGGCCGTGAGTGGTTTCCACTCATGGGTTCGGAAGTGAAGAAGGGACGGTCGACTAGACACCGGACTCCCACTGCCAGAGGACGCGTACCAGCGACCCCACATTGGGTCCGACTGGAGAGTTGTGCGGTACTGGTGCGGTACCGAGTCGGAGCATCCTTCGCAGGAGCTCGGATTCCCGCCCAGAGGCATGTCAGAGGCACATGACTGCGCCTGATGCATACGGCCCACCATGGACGTACTTGCACTCAGGCTTGCCATATCGCCTCTCTCGCTGTACGTACGTGTGCTGCTGCACTGCACTCACATCCGCTGAAGCGGATATACGCAGCGCACACACTGAGCATACTTGCTCTCTCGTTCCTCTCTCGCAGTATGACTCAGCGTTCATACGCTCGCGTTGGATTGAGTCCAGTCTGCGCATCATCACACAGCTGATGGCACACAGCACGTGCTTGCCGCCAGTTGCTTCTTTCACGCCTTGACGGACGCTCAAGAGCCTTTTTCTAGCATTCACTTGCTTAGCCATCAGTGCTTTGTTCTTGCATTCCCTGCTATTACGCAGTATTGTTCCTTTATTTGTACAATAAAGCATCACTCGTGATCTCCTCGCGCTTGCCTGTTACAAAATTTAAATTGGATATTAAATTCGGTTACCGGTTATGAAATTCGGCTAAGCGTCACTCGTTCTCATACAGGGTGCGTTCATTTCCAGTCGCCACGCGAATCGACGCAAAGGAAGTTTTAGTTACCGTTTTCACTTTTATAGCGTCACTTCCGTTGGCGAAATCCCCATCCCGAGTAGAAGTTAACACTGCCGTAGGGGAGTGACGAAGGCACTATCCATCTGCCTTATTTTTGCTCATATTGGTCATTTCTGTGGCTGTAGCCAGTGTGCGGTCGCATATTGCGCGGCGAATGTACGTCCATGTTTTCGACTTCTGTCAAAGTTTTCCTTCAATACGAATTCGTTTTATCCATTCCGTAGATTTTTGACTGCTTACGGAATAAAATTTAACGAACCGGCTTACCGACTTGGTTCGCGCAATCTAGAGGCCGGTACTTCCGTAGAAATTGTTTATACTTTTACTTTTATTGATGAGCGAATACAAAGTAAGTAATCTAACATCCACAAAAGAAACATTACATTACGAATTTAACAAACAGCGGAAACAGGCGGCCGAATTACAGAGAACATTTGATCTAAATTAGCCGTGGCTGGTGCCGTTCCCAGGATGGATGCCGCGTTTCCCCGTTGGACTTCGATGCTGAACCTCTGGCGCAGATATTCCGTTGCGCGTACCTCGCCTGTTTCCTGACGAATCATCTTGCCCACTTCAGTGATTAGCTGGGATGCTCCCGGTCCGAGTGGTCCCAATGTCTCGACGCCCACCGCACGGAACAGGTAGTCCTGCGTGATGTTCTGGTACTTCCCGATTTTCTTCCGTTCGGCCTGAGCCGCTGCTGCGCCGGCTTGCGTGGATGTTGCTGCGATATGTGATAAGGCCATTGTACATACACATGTCACATCCCATGTTAACATCTTGCCTCGTTCCCATGGCACTAAGGTGACTCCGTCTGGGCGTTTGCCGTTGGTTCGCGATATACCCAAAGGCTCGAGTTCAGTCTCAATGGTGGCGGAGGCGAAGGCTCGTTTGAGCGTCGCGTTTAAGCTGCTGTGTCGTGACTTCCGGCCCCGACTTTTCTTACAGCTCAAGCCGTGGTAGCCTCGTGCGTCCACCCATTCACTGCAAATGCATCGGTGCGGAGTAACGATCGGTGTTCCAAGACGCAGGCCAACAGCGATTCTTAATGCAGAGTCGTTCAGGAGATTTCCCAGTGATGCAGTTGGAAGTGCATCCAGCCATGCTCCGTTGTCCTTGGTGCTAACACCCAGGAGCCGTGCTTGGCTAGAAATGTCGGACTGGGCCTTTTCAGAAAGCATCTTCACGGAAGTTTGGATGACTGGTTCATCCCACATTTTCTGAAATTTTCGGGCTTCCACAGCTGGAAGATCGGCTTCCGTTACACGCTGCCACTCAGCTTCGGCGGTGCCGCAGTACACTTCCGGATCGAAGTCGGTTATTTCGGTTGCCAGTCGGGTCACTGAGTAAGCCGAGGCCAAGAAGGCCGGAAGAGCAAGCTTCTCAATACTCCGGATACCGAGACCACCTTCTGCAACTGGAAGGGATGCCTGCACCCAGTTCACGTCGGTGATGTTCACGTTGGTGATTGCCGAAAGGCATTCACGAATCATTACGTCGAATTCGGTCAGTAGTCCTCTCTGTAGATAACACCGAGCAGTGCGCAACTTATATGTCATTCTTACCGGTCCCATGCTGCATTTCAGTAGGTACAGGGCGTGATGAGCCGGTAGTAATTTCAGTCGCCGCACAATTCGGGCAATTTGTGCTGTCGCTGTGGTAAGCGCCCCCGCCACGGCAGCATCGTGGAGTGGAGCGCCCAGGTACTGCAGCTCGCCCAACTGTGGGCACTGGAGATCGGGAAAAGACTGGAGGAAGGCTGTGATAACAGCCTGGCGTTCATCTTCGGTGCCTCCCACAACAGCCAATTCGCATTTCGCGATATTCAACGCCAGGCCGCGCATTTCCAGCTCTTCCTTCAGAAAACACAGGTCGTCGTAGACGTCATCTGGGTCCCCACCAAGCGCGTCATCGTCGAGGAAACTTTCCTTCAACTTCGATTTGAGGTTTTTATGTGGGCCGATTGTTGCTAGACAGTACAGTAGCGGGCCGAGGGGATCGCCTTGCTGTATACCCGCTTGCGACGAAATTTGGTAGCCTCCATGGAGCAGTACTGACGGTTCACCGTAGCACTGGCGCACGTACAGGGAGTATGCTGGTAAAAACTCTTCTGTAGCTTCCAAAATTCGATTCCTGTCGAGAGAATTGAAGGCATTTTTCACGTCCAGCTTAAGAAAAACCTGCGGTCTGTCTCCGTTTATAGCGTCTTCTATGAAGTAGCGTGCGCCGTGGACTGCTGCCTCCGCGCCTCCTTTCGTTGCGAAACCCAGTTGGACAGGTTGCAAGACGCTGTTCAGGTGTGATGATCGGAAAGACACGGTACGAGACATGATCCGTCTGAGTGCCGTACCAACAGCGATAGGGCGAGTACCTCCGTCTTTCTTTTTAAAGGCGAACAGATTCGCTCCATACAGAATTTTTGCGATTTCAAGGGGTACCTCACCCCTTAGCATGATGTTCGTTACACCAGCCAACGAACTGTACAATTTTTTGGTAGTTTCTTGGTTCTTCACTGTTGTCAGCTCTTTCAAATACTGCGGCCGCATCCCGTCTGGACCTGCTGCCGATCCATTCGGGAACGCGCGGATAGCTTCCAAAATTTCAGCGGGAGTCACGGGAGGTGGCAGTGGGGTTGCAACACCCGAGGGCGGTTGCACATTCGACGGGTTTTGGGGGTGTTTTCCGAGTAACTGCGAATAGGTATCATCGGATGGCGGCATCACTGACTCTTCACTCACCAGCTGCTGTACAGCGCCAGCTACATTTCCGTCCTGAAGCTTGCGACTAACTCGCTTGCGGAGGCGCACTGGATCTTCAGGGTCCGTTGCAGGCTGTGCCTGCCTGCGTGGTTCTCCCTGATTGGCTTCTGGAGGGTTTTTCTGCTGCAGATTCTGACGTATCACATTGGGGTAAGTCATGTCTGATCTTTCACCAGGAGCTGCTTTTGGTTGCCCGAGAGTTGCGTAGCTGAACACGAGGAGATCGGTCCATGCTTCGATGGAGTTGCTGGAAGCGACGTTTTCCAGGGTGCTGTTCAATGCTTCGGCCACAATCACGCGTACACTTTTGGGGATGTGATCTGGTAGATGGACAAGTTCGCGTAGCTCAGCAAGTCGTGCTGGCAAATCTTTTTGGCTGGCTCGCTGTTGGGTGGTGGGGGTGGTACTGCGCCTGGCTTGCTGGGATCGTAGCCGTTGCTCTGCGGCCCGCTTGCAGTACTTGGGGGGCTTTTTGAGATGGTTCGCCAGGTAATTTGCACTGGTAAGGACTGTCTGACACTTCGGACATTGTAGAGGATTCGTCATTCTCCTTTCAACAAAACGTTTGGGCAGCGACAGATCTGAACGGTAGGAGATCGAAAAAGAGTACTTACGGAGTATTGTTTATTATGTTATAGCACAATTATATTTTTTGCTGTATTAATTACTTTATACTGTACCGCGAATATTTATACAGAACCGGAAGAAACTTCAAAAAATTGTTGCGCTATAGTCAATATTGAATTTATCTGCTCATTCTGCTGCAACATCCTACGGCAATCCAGCACGAGCGCGCGGTCACTACGCTTGCTAATGAGGCCGAACGGCCGGACACCGTAAGAGAGCATAACCTGAGTAGGTAACTGATTCTAATTTCATATCACTACTTCCGTGTGGATAGGGTTACGTGCCGTTGGACGGTAAGAGTAGTCAAGGACAGAGCTGGACGACGTCTCCATGGGATAAGAGCAGCGGAAGGCATGAGCCGCGAGTCTAGACAACGGTGGTTCTATTTGTCCGGTTATCGCTTGATTCAACCTAGAAATACCACTTCATTCATTAAGGACGCTAGTATAATCACAACATACTACAGCATTTCCTTCCCGCTGGACTGGCAGGCAATTATTAGGGTTATTATTAGTTTATTATGGTAGTACGCGAAATTAACAGGCGAAAAGTATTTTTCCAAATTGTATACTTCGGTTTTTCTCGAATTTTGATTGCTTTGCGCATACATTTTCTTAGATTGGTCACCCAAGTATTCTAATTTTTAAACCCAACGTAGTTTTCAGAAAATATTTATTAAAATAACAGAAAACTTGGCTCGTGAAATTCGACCTATACAAACCTTACGTCAATAGTTTTTTTATAAAATACTTGAGAGCCCATGGCCGGTGGCCACTTCATTAAAACGAATCGGCAAATTACTTACAACTGGATCATGAGGAACTGCTTTCGGGGTGGATGTTCGGCTCGCGAAAGCGTCGTACGATACGCATCGTCAATGTTTTCCCAATCACAAGCTAAGAACGCGGGGCAACTAGCGTCCAAAGCCTTCAGAAAGTGTTCCATCCGATCGGCTTCACTAAGCGTCGAGTACAGCACGACTTTTTCTACGACAACATCGACATCCAGCTGGGATTTGGTCGACACGATCCACGACCCGGCGATCGAGCCGAAGAAGTTCGGAACGATGACGCTTTGCAGATGTAGTTCTCGGCAAGCTTGCATGAGGTGGCGGAGATTTGCCCACTCCAGCCGCTGCTGCTCGTAGTTTTGTGCCACGGGGTAATAGCACAGTACATTCCTCAGATAGATTCTCGGCAAACACGGAACTTTGATCGACAGAAACCCAAGGATGTACTTGCCAAACTCTATACTTAGATCGCCGTTCATCAGCAGCAGCCCCGCAGTCGCTGTAGTCAAGGTAGTGTCGAGGATGTTTACAAGATGCTTTAGGTTATAGTTTCGCTCCTGGCCGCTTGAAGAATCAGGGAGCAGATTGGTCAGGTCGATCGCGACAACTGCATGACGGTTGCCATCTTGTTCGAGAATGTCGTGCCATGATTTGCAAACTCTGCAATAAATACCATTCAGAAAGCTGAACCTTTGAAATACAGTAAAACCAGCCTATACATACACCGTGCCAATAAATACAGCAGGAATGTAGATACGCCTAAGCTTTAACCGGCGCGCCCGGTAGACTACAACAAAAGGGGCATCCTGTTAAGGTAATACACCCCGGTGACAGCTTTGCATACACTTCCTTTTAAACCGGAGCCGAAATAGCTATGTAAGGTAAATCTACCTGCTAGTTGCATACGGTCCAAGATCCACGTAACTACCCAGAGATCTGCGTTCGGCAGTTTTGCTAGCGGCAATACAGTTAAATTTGTCGTCTGCCTGTTTTGAAGTTTGCCGTGATAAACGTAGCATTTATTTAAATTTGCTGAAAGAAGGCTATTTACAGTATATGCCTTCTACTTTCCTTTCCTCCTCTCTTGCTCTCTGCTTTTCCTGCATTCTAGTTTTTCATGCTTTCTAATTTCTTTGTGATGTTTTCGTTTTTTCGCTAGCGACGATCTAAGCTGAACACATACTCTTGCGTTTTGCCGATTCTTATAACCGCATTTTTAATAACTCCGCGAGAGCGCCGAACAGAGAGTGGTCAGAGACTACTGATGACCTTACGACCTTTTTCAGATCTGCATAGCTCGAAGCTCACTCGCAGCGTTGAATAAGCAGTTCCAGATCAGCTGTTGTAACAAAATTCGGCATCACTGCTTCCCTATAATTGGAACAGCGGCTTGTCTCATTTTCATAACTTACTTGTGAGCGCTGACCACGCTGTGGATATCTTCGATTGATAATACAATCCCCTTCAACAGTTCAAACGGCAGCTTTGCCAAGGAGCAGTCTTGGACGGCATCAGTGTTACTGCAACCCAGAGGTTTCTTCGGCGCTATTACGCGCGATTTTTGAACAAGAATTTTCAAATACGTCTCACTCAAATTTCCCTTTCCTCTTTTCGTATAGACACAATGCACGCACCGGGTGTCCAGCCATATCCGTACCACATTTATCCACGGAATTTCGTTGATAGCCTCCAACAAGCGCTGCAGATCAACGCCTCCCGCATTCGGCCCAAAATGGAGAGGGACCGTTCGTTTGTGGAGCTGACGACAGCATCTAAGAACTGAATCGTACTCAATGGCGTATGCGCTGCGCGGGTAATCACACACAAAGCGCAGTTGGAGCGGATGGACAAATTTCCGAATGGGTACATCACTGCCCGCAGGCGTCAGTTCTACACAAATGGGAGTGTCAGTGTCGCCGTCATGGTGAGAAATTACGCGCGCTGGATGGAATACGAAAGGTTGGTCGAAGTCCGTCCGCAGAGCGGCTTCCACATTTCTTTCGTAGCGGAGGTCCCATTGGTCTAATCCTTCATGGCGCTGTACCTGCGCGGCGGGCAGCCACAAAGGTGGGTTATTGTAACAGTCGAAATCCAATAGAACCCGCTTTCTTTCCCAGTCTACGTCGCACAGATAACTCAGAATGAACTGCCCCTCTATGACTTCGTACACAACGGGTTGCAAATTTTTCCCAAGGATTTGTCCGCGATTGTTATCGTCGATGATACAACCCCGATCGGCAAGGGATGGGGAAGCGCTGTATGAAGCTGTTGCAGCCTCGACGAAATCGTCGCTTTTGGGAATGTCTTTGCTGCGTCGTGGAGTGAGCGACAGCGATTCCCAAGACTTGCGTATCCAACGATCGAAGCGCGCTTTTGTCGAATGTAGTATTGAACGCTGGTTGGCCATTTCTTCTGTTAACGTAGCTGATATGGCAACTCTGGTACAGTAGACGTATCTGATTAAGGAAGTCTTCCAAAGTAAACAGCAAAACGCAAACTGGCAGCAGCAGAGACTCTGGTTTACACTGCAGAGCTTTGAACCTTATATCGTGAATCTGTTTTCCGTGACGGAAAACACTGTGCCGGCTAAGCAGTGCGCAGATGATCGATCGATCGTCTGTGGGAACAGCCGGAGCTAGTATAGATAGCAGAAGTACAGTCATACTGTGACGCGGCTGGACAGGAATAGTGTGCATGAATCATCATTATCTCGATTTGCGTAATGTGACGCGCTACAGGAACAGCTGCAGCTCGCACAAAATGCTTCTTAGTTTGGTTTTCACTGGTCTGAAGTCGTCAAAACAAAATTGAAAATGTTGGGACTTGGAATTTCGAAGTTTGGAAACGTGGAAGAGTGGTTCTTTTCTGTTGCTTCCCGGTCTAGTTCCTGTTCTTCGTTTGTTTTCTTTATAGAAATTTTTGAGAGTTTTGTTTGGAAATGCATGAGCGAAGTTTTTACTGTCAAAATTACTCATTTCTGGTAATTTGTTTGTCAGAAAATTTTAATAGCAGGTGACTGATATATGAAACCGTACATTTTTCGTCAATACGAAATTGTTTTATCCGTTCCGTACTTTGTCGAGTGCTTGCTGAACAAAATTTGGCCAACCGGCTAACCGACTTGATTTTGCACAATCAAGAGGCCGCTGGTCCTATACACATATTTTTACCGCTGTACCTGTACCTTGAATTAAATACAGCGAGTTTTAGATGCAGAATTTGTAAGTAATTACGATACAAAATTACACACAGGACGAGACTTCAAAAATTTGCTGCGTTACAGTCAATGAGCTTATTCGCTGCGACGTCCTACGGCAATGCAGCACAGAATTGACGGAATTCTTCTTCCGCGTGGCTTGGCTTACGTGATGTTGGACAGGAAGGGTGGCGGCTGCCGGGGACAGAGCTGGAGGACGTCTCATTGTGATAAAAGGAAAGGAAGGCATGAGCGGCGAGTCTGGACAACGGTGGTTCTATTTGTCCCATAATCGCTTGATTCAGCCTAAAAATACCAGTTCATTCATTACGGACACAATCACAATTTAGAACAGCTTCAAATACCCGTCCAACTGGCCGGCATTTAATTTTATCAGTTTTATTATTATCCATACGCAATATCTGACAGACGGAAAATACTTCTTCAAAATGTTTGCTTCGGTTTTCTCATGTTTTCTCATTTGTTTTGCGCATACGTTTAACGTTTTCATAAACCGGACACCCATCACCATGTACTTATCTTAATTTTTGAACCCAAGGTAATTTTCCGAGAATGTGATTTTATAAACAGAATTCTTTAATCGAAGAATTAGACTGATATAAACCATTCAAGTGCAGATCGTGGTTCTACTTTGTTTATGAAAAACAGATTAGAACATATCATAAAATTGTTAATAATGAAATCCGATGACCACGTCCCAAAGACGTTTGCTCAAATTGAAAGAAAACTGCACTTACAACTGGATCATGAGGAGCTGTTTTCGTAGCGGATATTCAACACACGAAAGCGTTTCACGATAGGCATCATCAATGTCTTCCCAATCAGAAGCTGTAAACGCGGGGCAACTAGCGTCTAAAGCCTTCAAAAAGTGTTCCATCCGATCGGCTGCACTAAGTGTCGAGTGCAGCACGACTTTTTCTACGATAACATCGACATCCAGCTGGGATTCGGCCGACCCGATCCACGACCCGGCGATCGAGCCGAAGAAGTTCGGAACGATGACGCTTTGCAGATGCAGTTCTCGGCATGCCTGCATGAGGTGTCGGAGATTGGCCCACTCCAGTCGCTGCTGCTCGAAGTTCTGTGCCACGGGGTAGTAGCATTCTAAATTTCTCAGGAAGATCATCGGCAAACACGTGACCTTAATTGACAGAAACGCAAAGATAAACATGCCAAATTCCAAACTTATAGCTCCGTCCATTAGCGTCAGCGACACGGTCGTTGCAGTCATGGTCGTGTCGAGGATATTTATAAGATGAGTTCGGTTATAATTTTGCTCCTGGCCGCTTGAAGAATCAGGGAGCAGATTGATCAGGTTAACAGCGACATGTTGGCTGCGATCTTGACCGATAATAATGTCGTGCCAGGATTTGCAAACTCTGTAATACATACCAACCTGAAAACTGCGCTTTAGAAATACTATTAAAACGGAATTAAATCTCTTATCGCTTCACCCTGTTGTTTGCCTATCCTGCAGTTTGTCCTAATAAACATAGCATTCATCACGTATACTTTTCTTCGAGTACTTTTCTCTTAGCTGCGCTGCTTTGCTTTTACGTAAGCGAAGATCTTAACTCAGCCTAAGTTTGTGCTTTGCTGATTCTTAAAACGGAGTTATAGACACGCCGTAAGAGCACTGGCAAGAGACTACTGATGACCTTGCGCATCTTTTTAGAAACCTATGCATAAGTAGAAGCTCGCGCGCAGCGCTGAATAGACAGTCTGTCAGCAACATTGCTTCCGCATAACTGCAGCAGCGGCTCGTCTAATTTCCGACACTTACTTTTGAGCGCTAACCACGCTGTGGATGTCTTCAATTGATAACACGATCCTCTTCAACAGTTCATACGGCAGCTTTGCCAACGAGCAGTCTCGAACGGCATCAGTATTAATGAAGCTCCGAAGTTTCGCCACCACGTGACACCGCGATCTGCGAACGAGAATTTTCAAAATTGTCCCATTGAAAACTCCCGATCCATTTTTCGTATAGACACAGTGAACGCACTGGGTGTCCAGCCATATCCGTACCACTTTTATCCATGGAATTTCGTTGCACACCTCCAACAAGCGTCGCAAATTAACACCTTCCGCATTCTGCCCAGTATCGAGAGGTGACGTTTGGTTTTTCAGCCGACGACAGCATCCACGAACGTAGTGAAATGCATCGGCGTGCGGGCTGCGCGGGTAATAATACCTCCACACAACGCGCAGCTGGAGCGGATGGACAAATTTCCGAATGGGTTTATCACCGTCTCGAGGTGTCACTTCTACACAAATTGGATTCTCGCTGTCGTCAATGGGAGAAATGATACGCGCTGGATGGAATACATAGGGTTGGTCGGATTCCAACCGCAGAGCGGCTTCAACCGTTTCGTGGCGGAGGTGCCATCTGTGTACTGCATGATGCTGCTGTACCTGCGCGGCGGGCAGCCACAAGGGTGGGTTGTCGTAACAATCAAAATCCACCAAAACGCGTCGTCCATCCCAGTCTACATCGCACAGATAACCCAGAATGAACTGCTCCGGTGTGATTTCGTACAAAACGGGTTGCAGATTTTTCCCCAGGATTTGTCCGCAGTTGATGTCGTCGATGCTAGAGCCATGATTGGCAGGGGATGCGGAGGCGCTGCATGAAGCTGTCGTACCAACTTCATGCAGCGCTATATCGTCTGTTTGGGGTGCGTCTTCGTTCGATGAGTTGCGTCGTGGAGTGAGTGACAGCGAATTCCAGGACTGGCGTATCCAACGATCGAAGCGCGCTATTGTCGACTCCTGTGTCGGGCTCTGACTAGCCATTTCTGTATTTAAAGTAGCTGATAAGACAACTTCGGTACATGTATCTGAAGAAAAAAAAACTCTTCTCAAGCAGATAGGAAGATTGCAAAAATCAAGCAGCAGTGCCTGCCGTTTACTATAGAGTATATTCAGTATAGAGCTTTAAATGTGACTGTGTGAATTAGGTCATGCACGGGAAACATTGTGCCGACTGAGCATTGCGCAAATAATCGATCGATAGTCTGTGGGAACAGCCGGAGCTACACACCGCAAGGAGTACTTCTATGGCTAGCAGAAGTACTTACAGTAATACTGTGATGCGGTTGGACAGTAATAGTGTGAATGATTCATCATCATATCGATTTTCGTAGGTATCCACTGAGTGTATGATGGAACTGCTGCAAACAGCAACTCTGCAAGAACTCTCATATATTATACAATGTTTTGTGATTGCACGGGACAATCGCAAAACATGGTATAAATATATATGGAAAGTTAGCAGAGGCAGATCACGGAAGCATCTGTAACCAGAAAGCGTCAACATCTCGGTTTGAAGTTTGGAAAATTTGCAAAAAATTATACCAGTAGCGTTCCTTTTTAGCCTTATAGTAGTCAGGTCACATTTCTTACATATAGGACAGACAGGCCATTATTTCCGCATCTTGTTCTACTCTGCTCACTCCCGTTGAGTCAGGTCGACAGTACCGTAAAAGCAAATATTACGACAGTTTTTTATCGTACGCGTTTCTTTCGTTCCAGTGGAGAACCATAGAGTATCGTTACATGCAAATATCGGCAAACCGCAAAATTATGCAGCATCTTATGTGTATTCTCATACATAGACGGCATTATGCTTTGAAAGGTTTAACTGTACGTGACTTGGTACTACCACTGTCCGTTTTTTTATTTCCCGGCTTTTAGTGGGGCTTGGATTGCGTTTACTCATACGATGACAAAGGTCAAAACTCCTTGAATACAGTCGCTGATCTATGGTTACTCTAGTCGCAAGTGCAAAGCTCTAGTGCAAAGCTCTAGTGCAAAGCTCTGGTGCAAAGCTCTAGTGTGACGTTTTAGTGGATTTAGTGGGATGTAATTTTACCCGCTCATGCTTACCATGATACTAGACATCTGGCTGTAATAAAAAAACGCATATTCCGGCACTATAACTACATGTATGATATCTATCCCGCGGTCAAAATGCAGGACATACGCAACGACGTACAACAGGTGCCAAAGGTCACTTATATTATCATTACTAGTAGACCCCCCGCAAACTGTGCGGATGAAATGTACTACAAATAAATTACAAGGCGTCGGTGACTTAAAAGCTATCTTTTTTTGGTTATTTTTGACGAAATCCAGAAAAAACCTAATTCTTACAATGAACGCAACATTTTAATTCCGATTAAGCTGTACTGTACTGCGCAAACTGTATGTTTACACTTCATATGAACAGTATCATAATATTGTTCCATACACCTGGTCCAAATGCTGCCCGGTACCTTCCATAGCGCTATCGGAAGCAGCCTCCATCTCAGTTTTCCGTAAATTGCATAATTAATTTAACCCTTATATGTATTAACATTTCCCATACAGCATAATTTTATTGTTTAACTCTTTTTTGGAACTACAAAAATAACACTTTCACTTCGATTAATTTTAGAACCACATCACACACTGGGAATCGTCTTGTTCGTAGAAATGGGATGCCTAGCTTGCTGCTCCGCGATCTCCACTCGCACCGCAGCTCGGCTCCGCCTTTGGTTAATTATACAAAAAAAGTAACTTAATTTGCTTAAATTTTACTGTTTAAATACTGTTAAGTACTGTTTAAATTTTTATCTGCTACTAAAACTTTAAATTAATAAATGCGAAGAATTTTAAAGAAGCGCAGTGCGGCAATAATGCGCAGCTGGTAAACATAGTAGAAAGTTCGTTCACGGTAACTTCTCGGCACTCGCGCACACAGGAGTTTTCGCTTGCACAGTGTAGTATTCAGTGGTGCAGTACTTACAACGGTGAGTATTGTACCACCCCATAGACGGCTTGTTTCGCATAAGTTAATCAGATGGCTTCAGGAGGCAGTTACTTATTTCACAACCAGTTGGTTTCGGAGTTGTTATTGCTGATTTTTCTGATTGTTCGTTGCAATGTTCCTTAGACGTTGTATAGAAGGGTTTTCCAAAGTTTTCTTGAAAATGACGTATTTGTTTTCTCAAAACAAACTAATTTTGTAAAAACCTAACAAGGTAGGGCTATCGAATAATATATAGATCTTTAAGATTGATCCAGTGTATCCTTCGGGGTGGATGCGCAAACACAATGACCACACCTCCTCTTCTTTTTTTTATTATAAAGGATTATTGCGGCACAATAGCAGACAACCCCGAACGAAAGCCCGAAGGAACTTCAAGTCAGGTGGAACAAAAAAAGCAATTAAATGCAAGTACAGATCTAGAACTAAGACAGATTCACAGATCTGAGTAGAAATTTGAAGACGGGTAACAGAACTGGAATCGAGAATTTTAGAGTTAACAGCAGGAATTTTATAAAAAAATACGCAGTAAACGCATTTCCAAAGTCTGCTCTCCGACTACATTCTTTGCCCCGGCAACTTCGATCCGTGCCGGCTTCCACAGATTATAACGCATGGTGTCATCTTCTACTTGGACCACATCCGGGAGCTAGGCCGGAAGCGGGAATTGATATTTGTTCCCGACCTTGAACAGCCACACCGCGTCGCTCTGATGCCATCGGTCGAAAATGAGAAGAATTCATTACAGGCATCTCTGCTGTCCATAATTGTGGAGAGACAGTTTCCAAGCTCGTTCTGAAAGCTCCATTACACATTGCAGGTGACTTTAACTTGTTGCGCTATAATTTATTTGCTGCGACGTCCTACGACAATCCAGCGCAGTGCACTGGCGCGCGGTCAATATAAAACCATCGCTTTGGTGCTGAGACCGACTGTTCCAGGAACCGAAACTGACTTTAGTGTCTGGGTACTCTATCTGTGTGATCTGAGTTCCGTGGCGTTGGACGGGAAGGATGACGGCTGCCGGGAATGGAGTTGGAAGACGTCTCCGTGAGATAAGAGTAACGGAAGGCATGAGCAGCGAGTCTGGACAACGGTGGTGCAGCTTGTCCGGTTATCGCTTGATTTAGCCTAGAAATACCAGCTTTCTTCATCGTAATTACGTCACTGAAAACTTTGCTCTGTGAAATTCCACCCATAAAAACCATACGGATCTTCGATAGTTTTTATCGAAAACAAATTAAATTACTCTATTCCCGATGAGCGGTGCAGCTTCATGAACACGAAGCGCAAAGTGACTAAAAACATCACTTACAACTGGATCATGAGGAGCTGGCTTCTAAGCGGATATTCGGCACGCGAAAGCGTTGCACGATAGGCATCGTCAATGGTTTTCCAATCACACGCTGTTAACGCGGGGCAACCAACGTCCAGCGCCTTCAGAAAATGCTCCAGCCGGTCGGCTTCACTAAGCGTGGAGTGCAGCACGAGTTTATCTACGACAACATCGACGTCCAGTCGGGATTGAGTCGGCACGGTCCACATGGAGCCAAAGGAGGCGAGGAAGGTAGGAACAATCACGCTTCGCAGATGCAGTTCTCGGCATGCTTGCATGAGCTGGCGGAGATTGGCCCACTCCAGCCGCCGCTGCTCGTAGTTTCGTGCCACGGGGTAACAGCACCGTACATTCCTCAGGACAATCATCGGCAAACATGGGACCTTAATCGACAGAAACCCTACGATGTACCTGCCAAACTCCAGATTTACATCGCCGTTCATTAGCGCCAGCGCCACTGTCGCCAGCGTCACGGTAGTGTCGAGGATGTTTAGAAGATGAGTTCGGTTGTAATCTTGCTCCTGGTCGCTGGAGGATTGTGGGAGCAGATTGGTCAGGTCAACAACGACATGTTTGCGTTCTTGACCGAGAATAATGTCGTGCCAGCACTTGCAAACTCTGCAATTAGCGACATCCTATAAAATGCTACTAAAGCCGAACCAGTTTTTAACTGATTTCTTCTTGCCTGCCTATAATTCAGTTTGTGATGATGAATATGCATTCGGAATGCTTTGTCCAGTTTTCTTGTACGTAGTTGTGAATACATGCTGCTTTCGTTTTTGCACAAGCGACGATCTAAACTAAGCCTTTAAGTTTGTGTGCTGATTCTTACTACCGCAATAATAGTCTCACCGTGAGAGCACTGAACTCAGACAACTAATGACCTTTTAAGCTCTTTTTCAGATATCCACAGCCAGAAGCTCGCTCGCAGCAGCTGAGTAAGCAGTGCGAGTTCCGAGTCCGCTGTTTCTAACAACTGTCAACAGCATTGCTTCATGTATAACTGGAACAGCCGCTTGTATCATTTCCATAACTTACTTCTGAGCGCGGACCATGCTGTGGACGTCTACGATTGATAACACGATCCCCTCCAACAGTTCATACGGCAGCTTTACCAAGGAACCGTCTCGAACGGCATCAGTGTTATTGAAGTCCAACAGCTTCTCAGGCACAGTAACGCGACGCCGCGATTTTTGAACAAGAATTTTTAAATTTGTCTCATCCAAAATTCCCGAATAGCTTTTCGTGTAGACACAGTGAATACACTGGGTGTCCAGCCATATCCGGACCACCTTTATATACGGAATTTCGTTGCAAGCCTCTAGCAAGCGCTGCAAGTCAATGTCATCCGCACTCAGCCCAAAATCCAGAGGGACTGTTTGTTTTTGCAGCTCACTACAGCATTCATACATAACTTCATCGGCGTCCGCGCTGCGCGGATATTCCCTCACAACGCGCAGCTGGAGCGGATGCACAAATTTTCGAATGGGTCCATCACCGCCCCGAGGTGTCACTTCTACACAAATTGGACCCTCGCTGTCGTCAACGGGAGAAATTATGCGCGCTGGATGGAATGCGTAGGGTTGGTCGGATTCCAACCGGAGAGCAGCTTCAATCGTCCTTTCGTAGCGGAGCTCCCATTTTCCTACTCCACTACGTTCCTGCACCTTCGCGACGGGCAACCACAAGGGTGGGTTGTCGTAATAGTCGAAATCCACCAAAACACGTAGTCCTTCCCAGTCTACATCGCACAGATAACCCAGAACGAACTGCTGCGTTGTGATTTCGTACACAACTGGTTGCAGATGTTTTCCCAGGATTTGTCCGCAGTTGATGTCGACGGTAGAGCCATGGTCGGCCGGGGATGGGGAAGCGGTGCATGAAGCTGCCGTAACAGCGGCGATATCGTCCGTTTGGTGAGCGACGTTGCTCAGTGTGCTGCGTCGTGGAGTGAGTGACAGCGATTTCCAGGACTTGCGTATCCAGCGATCTAAGCGTGCTATTGTCGACTGTGGTGTGGGGCGCTGGCTGGCCATTTCTGCAGTTAAAGTAACTGATAAGGCAACTTTGGTACATTTACATGATTTAAAAAGTCCTCCGAGGCAGATGGCCACAAAAAACAGCCGCGACCGCGGTTTACTATACACCTTTAAACGTGACAGTGTGAATCGGCTCACTACACAGAACGCATTGTGCCGGTTGAGCAGTGCGCATCTAACCGATCGATAGTTTGCAGGAACAGCCGGAGCCACACACTGCTCGCAAGCATGGCTGGTAAACTGCAGTTATACGTGTTATGTTATGGTGCACGAATTACCATCATATCGATTTGCGCATTAATAGAGGCGAGGCAGTAGACAGCCATACGATAACTCAGTATTACAGAAACTTTCATAATGACTCTTACAGTCACAAATGTTTTGCGATTGTCTTATGGGAAGCTGGGAGGAAGATGTGGCCACTGGCCAGCGGATGTCAACCAGTAAGTCGGTCTCACGGCATACCCGTTTAAGCTACGGCAATTTGTGACGTGTTACATCTGTGTACGTATTTGCTGTTGCGTAACGGAGTGTTACTTAACGGAGTGTGGGGACTTGACTGGCCGTATCATATTTGATGTTCTTAGTGCAGAAGGATAATTATGTGATAGACTGATAGTGCCGAATTGTACCCGGCTTGGCTATTCAATAAACAATTTAAATCAATAATATTACTATGATGTTTTAAGTTTTGCCTGTGACTTGTGAGTGCTAAAACATAAGAATACTTCATCGTTTATGTCAGAAGACACACAAGCAGAGCAAGGAAAATGAGGGCAAATCAGCCTTTATTGGCAACAATAAAGCAATAACAAAACCAACAGAAACCAGTGCGGAATCACTGTGGAAAAAGTAGCTGCATGCGAGCTCGTCAGAATCGTGATAATGAACAGCGTGCTGCAGGTATGCAACAGCTGATGCCGCAAAGCATAGGATCGCTCGTAGGCGCTGGGCTACGCCCCCTAGAGTGCAGCAATGCGCGCTGATTGGTCAGCGTAGACAAAGTATACGCTGTGTAAGCAGCGTAATATAGCGGCACGAATGGCGTGGCCATCTGTGTGCGGGCGACAGAGCAAGCCAGGAGAGGTGTCTACCGCCTCGAGTGAGCGGTCTCTGACATTTAACTCGAGATTCCTGGGATTCCTGGTGTTAACAGGGATTCCTGGTGTTTGTTTACTCTTTTAATTACGTATCAAGTAAGGTCATCGCGATCGGTCTCTTTATTAAATGTTAAATATATACAGATACGTACATATACATATATATACAGATACGTATCTCTCCCGTACTTTAGGGACTTGCAATTATTAGTGATAACTAAACTCAAAGAATCGCCATTCAAAGACTTGTTTCTGTAGTGTATGCCATAGCAACACTCTAGACGATGTGCACTGTAATAATAATTACTCAGTTGATTAGCGCGCTGAAAGTCCAGATTATTAAATCGTTTTAGCGAACACGACAGTTTTCAAAATTTGCAATCGGTGGACGTTGTTGCTAATGATACGTTGTATGTTTAAACGTAGCTTTTGGGATAAGTAAACAAGCAAAAGCAAAAGCAGAAACAGGGAGGAAAAATTTTAAGCTTGGTATGCATAGAGCACCTATCATTTCTGTCAGAATGTCATTACAGATTGACCGTTAGTGACATTGTAACAGGCAACTATTTTACACAATAATATCGGCAAATGAATCGTATAGAAAAATTGTGGCTAATATTTTGCTTCGAGAGTTTTCAGTTTCGCACCCGGAGTTCTTTGATTTGCTGGATCTAGCTTTGGTAAAACTGATTTCTGTCAAGATGATCACCTGAGCCCTGCAAAATCGCAACTATAAATTTGCAAATTTCTATAAGAAAATGACCCACCTTTTCGAACCAAGTGATGGCTTCGTCCACTCTGTGTCGGCCAACCAAAAAGCATCAGTACTACCAAGCGATGTCGTGATGATTTGGATTTCTGTACGGTCCAGTTTTATTGTATTTCCTGTTCTTTGCCATGCCTCTTGCCGCTTAGCAGTTAAAACTAACGGCCTATACTGGTACACTAGTACCATTGCCAATTATCATTCTATGATGCGGTATCTCCTTACTTGCTTGTGTGAGCTTTTCCATTGGCAGGTCGGAAGAATTTCGTTGAATGCCGACATCAACTGTAACTTGGTAACCACCTTGGTTCAAGGTTGCTGAAAAGGTATAAATATGTACGGCAGGTAAAATTGCTGTCGTGCCCAATATCCACGAAATTCAAGGGATTTAATTCCCCACATAATGGCCACATTCGTTTTTACCGTGATACCACGCCTCCGGCTGTAATAAATAAATCACTGTACATACAGTAGCGAACAAGAGGCAACACAAATGCAGTTCCATACAGTACTAGTGCAAAGTCACTAATATAATACTCGATGCACTAGATTCCTAACTTAATTATAGTGAACGACAAACCAAATAAATCATGTCTCCGGGCCTTGAATGCACTCAAAAGGTCGCAGATGCTGCGGTAGGCTGGGATAGATCTCTTTGTACCAAGGCAATAGGCATCACGTTGAATCCGGGACTGACACCCCCGGGTGGGGTCTGGGGTGGGAAACAGAAACCATCGCTTTAATCCAAACATCCCACCATTCCACGCACCGGAGTGCCGATGGAAAGATAACCCGGATAAAAGCGGGAAACTCCCAGACAGAACAGGGAAATCATGGCGTCACGCGGCTGAAAACAAAAAAAAGTATATTTTAAGCTTATGGTTGTGCCTTTAACCACTGGAATAGTCGATACAGCAACTTGGAAAATATTAAAATCGGCTTCCGCTTACAATTTGCAGGATTTAGGGGCACACATGGTATTCTCAGTGAATCTTCGAGGAGGTTTTTGTCGTAGAGATGACTGAAATAAATTGCCGAAAATTGTTCCTCGATAACAAACATTGGTCCTCGATCTAAAGCCGAGTGTCTTTCTTTACTGGAAGTTTGCAATTATTGCCTTACTAGGGTCAATTACAGACATCTCTACTGTTCATGATTGTGGGGAGGTGAAATGTCTACGGCCTAATACTTTATTTGAAGTATTGCCGTTTTGTAATAGTGCAAAGAGTCAACGGAATACACTAGCGTAGTAACCGAGGCTTTACATGTCCGGTTGCTGCGACGAGAAGGTCACAACAGTAACAGCAAAATCACGAGATTTACGTACGTACTTCCGGTCATACGTCATACACCACAACTAAAACAAATTCAAAAGATTGGTCCTCGATAACAAAACTGATCGTATATAACAAAGACTGCCTTTTTTAACTGGAAGTTGGAACTGTTGCCTAACTACGGTTCATTACAGGCACCTCTGCTGTCCATGATTGTGGAGAGAAACTTTCCAAGCTCATTCGGAAATCTCCATTATTCACTGGAGGAGACTTCAGTTTGTTGCGCTATAATTTATGTACTGCGACATCCTACGCCATTCCAGCACAGTACTCTGTACACGGGCGCGCGTTCACTACAAACCATCGCTTGCTAATGAGACCGAATGCTCCAGGAAACCGAAACTGGCGTTAGTGCCGAATTATTCCATCTGTGTGATCTGGGTTCCTTGACGTTGGGCGGGAAGGATGCCGGCTGCCGTGGACGGAGCTGGAAGACGTCTCCGTGAGATAAGAGTAACGAAAGGCATGAGCAGCGAGTCTGGACAACGGTGGTTCTACTTGTCCGGTTATCGCTTGATTCAGCCTAGAAATACCAGCTCTCTTATTAAAGATGTACAAACACAATTTAGAAGAGAGCTTTTCCGTCCCGCCGGACTGGGCAGACCCATATTATTACTGCTTGTAATATTACTGTTATTATTGTTATTATTGGAATTACAGCAGCCAAACGCTATTAACAAAGGCTTCAGTAGCGTATTTGAATTTTTTTTTAATATTTGAAGTTTTTATTTGGTTTGGTTTGATTTTATTTTACGAGTTTTTTCCAATCCGGCGTTGCACGTAGCAGAAAACTTTCTCCTTAAAAAGACAATAAAATACTCGAGACCCGATGAGCTGGGACCACTTCCTAAACACGGAGCGCACATTGACCAAAAATATCACTTACAGCTGGATCATGAGAAGCTGGTTTCGAAGCGGATATTCGGCACGCTCAAGCGTCGTACGATAGGCGGTGTCAATGTACTTAAAATCAGCAGCTGTGAACGAGGGGCAACTAGCGTCTAGCGCCTTCAGAAAATGTTGTAGCCGATCGCCTTCACTAAGCGTGCAGTCTAGCCCGAGTTTCCCTACGACAACATCGACGTCCAGCCGTGATCGACGTCCAGCCGGCGCGGTCCACATGGAGCCGAAGGAGCCGCAGAAGTTAGGAACGATGAAGCTTTGCAGATGCATTTCTCGGCAGGCTTGCATGAGGTGGCGGAGATTGGCCCACTCCAGCCGCCGCTGTTCATAGTTTCGTGCCACGGGGTAGTAGCACTGTACATTCCTCAGGACGATCTTCGGCAAACACGGGACCTTAATCGACAGAAACCCAAAGATGAACATGCCGAACTCCTGGCTTATATCACCGTTCATTAGCGTCAGCGCCACAGTCGTTGTAGTCACGGTAGTGTCGAGGACATTTATAAGGTGATTTCGGTTATACGAGTAATTTGGCTCCTGGTCGCTGGAGGAATCGGGAAGCAGATTGGTCAGGTCGACAGCGACATGTTCGTGGCGATCTTGACGGACAATAATGTCATACCAGCATTTGCAAACTCTGCAATAAGTGTCACTCAGAAAACCGAAGCTATAAAAAAAATATTACTAAAGCCGAATGAAGTTTTTAATCGGTTCACCTTGTTGCGTCCCTATAATCCAGTTTGGATGATGAATGGATGCATTTGGAAAGCGTTTTCTACTTTTCTTGTAGTTATGAATACTTATGATGCTTTCGTTTTTACGTAAGCGACAATCTGAGCCCGTAAATTTGTGTTGTATGATTCTTGCAACCGCAATTATAGCCACACCGTGAGAGCACTGAACAATGACTACTGATGACCTTTAAAGCTCCATTTCACCTATGCACGGCTAGAAGCTCGCTCGCAGCGCTGAATAAGCTCTTTGGGTTCCACTGTTCTAACAACCGTCAGTGGCACTGCTTTAGTACGAGGACAGGCTTAGTATTCGCGATCACCTAATAAACTTGCGAGAATTCGCGATCACCGTGCCCGGGTTGTGCAGTACTGCCAGTCACCAGCCAGTCGCCAAAGGAAGGCAGTCCAGTCCAATGGTCGTGTGGGGTGTCACTGGGCTGCCTTCCCTTGGTGGCTGGCAGGTCACTGGCTAATCGGAATAGCGGCTCGTCTCATTTCCGTAACTTACTTTTGAGCATTAACCACGCTGTGGATGTCTTCGATCGATAACACGACTATCTCCAACACTTCATATGGCAGCTTTACCAAGAAATCGTCTCGGACCGCATCAGTGTTACTGACATCCAACGGTTTCTCGGGCACAGTCACGTGACGCAGCGATTTTTGAACTAGAATTTTTAAATTCGTCTCATCCAAAATTCCCGTATAGCTTTTCGTATAGACACAGTGGACGCATTGGGTATCCAGCCATATCCGTACCACCTTTATCCACGGAATTTCGTTGCAAACTTCCAACAAGCGCTGCAGGTCAATGTCATCCGCACGCTGCCCAAAATCCAAGGGGGCCGTTTGTTTTTGCAGCTCTCGAGCTGAGTACAAATCATCGGCGTACGAGCTTGGCCGATAATTTCGCACAACGCGCACCTGAAGCGGATGCATAAATTTCCGAATGGGTCCATCACCGCCCGGAGGTGTCAGTTCTACACAAATTGGAGTGTCCGTTTCCCCGTTATGTTGAGAAACGATTCGCGCTGGATGGAATACGTAGGGTTGGTCGGATTCCAACCGGATAGCGGCTTCAACCGTCCTTTCGCCGTGGAGGCCCCATTTGGATACTGCATGATGCTCGTGCACCTTCGCGGCGGGCAGCCACAAAGGTGGGTTGCCGTAACAATCGAAATCCACCAGGACGCGCTGTCTTTCCGAGTCCACGTCGCACAGATAACCGAGAATGAACTGCCCCGTTGCGATTTCGTACACAACTGGTTGGAGGTGTTTTCCCAGGATTTGTCCGCAGTTGATGTCGTCGACGGTAAATCCATGGTCGGCGGGGGATGGAGAAGGCGGAGCGCTGCACGATGTTGTCTTGATATCGACATCATCGTCTGTTTGGGGTCCTTCTTTGCTCTGTTTGCTACGTCGTGGAGTAAACGAAAGCGGTTTCAAGGACTTGCGTATCCAACGATTGAAGCGCGATTTTGTCGACTGCGGTGTGCGCTGGCTGAGCATTTCCGGCATTTCGGCAGTTAAGGCAGCTGATAAGGCAACTTTTTCGAAACAACTAGACGAATAAAGCAATCGCAAAGTACGGCTGTGTTTTTATAAGGAAATGTAAAGTATGATTAACAAAAGTCTTCCAAGGCAGATGGCAAAAAGCACACTGACAGTAGTTTACTATAGAGCATTAAATGTAATTGCGTGAATCCGCTCACTGCATGGATAACATTGTGCCACTGCCGACTGACGTGGGCAGCGCACGGATAATCGATCGATAGTTTGCGGGAACAGTCGGAGCTACACCTTGTCACGAGTATGGCTGATACTTCGCAGTACAGCCGTACTGTGACGCGGTTGGAAAGGAGTGTGCATGAATCGTTAACATATCGATTGGATTCGCACAAGGATGTACATGTTGGAAAGACTGTAAACAGCAAGAACTCCCATACAGTCATAAATGTTTTACCATTGCCTTATGGGAAAGTAACGAAAGAAGATCCAAAGGGCCAGAAAGTGCCAACTAATTAAGTGGCTCTCGCAAAATATATAATCGTTAAAATATTGTGGTAAGTTTTGCATTTGAGTGTTTGTTGAGTGCTTGAGGAAGAAGCACTTCTTCTGAATGGTTCAACATCATCCTGCACGGCTAGCAGCTCTGGAATATCTGGTCTCGGATACTTAGTCTGTGGAATGTCGTCTTAGCCGGGGTGTTGTTGCACTGTTAGCTTAAATAAGTGTTGCACTAGATGTCAACGTGACTATCTTAGATCGGGGTTAACTTCGATCTAACCTCGCTGTACAGCTTTAAGGTCATACCATCACAGCATCAACTAACACCTTATTAGCGGAGAACATGATACGAGTACTTTACCCGAATGATCATGAAACGAGAGTGTCTGTAGGCAAGAAAATGTGCAAGATGCAGGAATGGTATACATATTATCCTGAAGCAAGCGGCAACGTCAACATTTCAATACATAGGTTTTTTGTGCGGTCCATTGAACGTTCCAGTTTTAGTTTGCAGCAACACTTTGTTAAAAAGTGTTTATCTATAATTACCAGGTAAAATAACAGTCAGCATGCCAGGCGGGCGCCCACTAGGCAAACACTTTTGTGATGCGTTAAGAAATTTCGCAGCTGTTTTGACATATTCCGACTTTCAATCGTTCCAAAGTTTACTACTACGAGAAGCCAGTATGTGCCACTCATTTGTGCACAAGAGCGCTGCATGAAATCGGTTCGCCGTCTACCACAAAGTAGTTGACCTGAGGAAACTGACATGACGGAATAAACTTCCGATCTGATTGAAGAAGCGTTGTTTTAAAAGGATCGAAACCAAGACGGGTTTCGAAATATGGGTTTCCGATTGTGATATTCATTGGTTACTTTTAATTATGGCTGGGATACCATTTTGGTTCGGTTGGGTGGTAATAAAGACTGAAAATCCAGATAAAAATGTTAAATAATTATATGCAGGATTCTGGGACTGGCAGTTAGCGCACTCATGGAAGCACAATTCAAGGATTTTCTGGAAAACAGCTTCCAAAATTTGCAAGCGTTAATGCCAATATAATATGATATGTGTTCAAACGAAACCATTTTTCGGAGAAGCAGGTAGGCTGTAAGCAAAATGCTACGCGGCAGAAAAACAGTTAGTAATGGTAATTGACAGAACAGCTGTCAATCTTTGGGAGATTGTCGTCCTTACAAATTGACAACGTAACTGACATTATAATACGCGGCAGACGGTTATTTCACCCCATCATTTCGCGAAATTATATTCGCGAAATTATAGAAAAACAGTGGCTCATATTTTGTTTCGGGATAGTTTCCAGTTTCGGATCTCGAAGCCGCAGTTCTTTGATTTGCTGGATCAAACTTTGGTAAAACTCTTTTCTGTCAAGGTGATTGCGTGAGCCCTGGAAAACTGCGCTTATAAGTCTGCAAACGCTCGATCAGAAGATGACCAACCTTTTCGAACCAAGTAATTGCTTCGTCCACTCTGTGTCGGCCAATCAAAAAACACCCATAGTACCAGGCGATTTCGTGGTAATTTGGATTGATTTTAATAACGGCTTCCATGCATTTCTCGGCTTTGTCGGCATCTTGCTGCCTTAAGTAGACATGTGCTAGCTGCAAATACGCACTGACGAAATACGGATCCTCATCAACGGCGTTTTTTGACATAATTTCGCTGTTGTGAAGGTCCCCAAGAAAGCCATACGTCCGCGCCAAAAGAAGCATTATCTCCGAGTTGGTTGGATATAGGGCGTGTAGTTGGCTAAACATCTTCGAACGCTGCTGTGAAACGAGCATCCAGCCCCATCCGGTAGCCTGCAACACCGAGATTGAAAGGGTAACCAGGCGATATCATTATGTGATTATGATCATGGTGATTGCAGTATATGCAACACGAAAAAAAGCATTTTTAAAGTGGTTCTTTCATTATGACGATTAAAGTGATTCTTTCGTTGTGTTATAAGTATCAGGAAGTACGTAGTTAAATTTTTATACTGTCGAGTTTATTAGTATTTCAGGTGATTTCCACCGGGAATCTTTGGTATACGTATAGATGCTTAACACGAACGGCTTATGCCCAAAAATTAGTAACAATGCCAATCGTCTCAGGTACATGTGATGTGGTTTATCAGAATTACAGGCGAAAACATCTTCGTAATGCGCACAATATGCACGCTGCATAAAAATTGTTATCTAAGTGCATCTTCGCACGGCCTTACTTGCATATTTAAGCTTTTCCATTGGCAGGATAGAGGAATTTCGTTGAATGCCGACAGCAACCGTATCTCCAAGATTCAGTGTAGCTGAAAAGGTATAAATTGTGTTATAGCAGGCTAAATTCTGTCGTTATGTCCCGCATTCCGAAGCATTTAATTCCCCACATAATGGCCCATTCGTTCTTATCGTGATACCAGGACTCCGGCTGTAATAAATAAGCACATATTCAAGCACTGTAAATATACATAGCTAAGAAGATGCACAACGTATACACATGCACTGGAGTACAATAACAGTCAAAGGTCACTACATAATATAATACTCGTTGTATTGCATTGTGCCTAACTTTACAAGTGAACCGCTTACCAAATAAATACTAATGTCTCCGGGGCCTTGCATGCACTCATAAGGTCGCAGATGCTGCGGTAGCTTCGGATAGATCTCCTCGTACCACGGCATCATGTTGAATCCGGGACTGACACCCCCGGGTGGGGTCTGGTGCGGGGGATACAGAAACCATCGCTTCCAGCCAAACAATACACCATTCCACGCATCGGAGTGCCGATGGAACGATATACCGGAAAAGGTTGCTCCCAGGTAAAACAGTGGAATGCGGTCATCACGCGGCTGAAATGAAAAAAATAATAAAGATATTTTGTAAACCGTGACACCGTGGTTCCAAACATTGCTATACTCGTGCTCGTCACTTGGACTTGCAAGACATAAATGGCTGCTTTCCGCTTACAATTTGCAGGAATTTGGGTACACACAACGTATTCAGGAGGCCCGATGAATCGTTGAGGAGGCCTTTATTGTAGAGATAACTGAAATAAATACCCAAAAGACTTGTCCTCGAATATGCATTCTACTGTGGAGTAACTTTCTATCTTAGAACTATTGCCTTACTATAGTTCCTTATGGGCATCTCTGCTATCCATGATTGTCGAAAGGAAGTTTTCCAAGCTCATTCTGAAAGTTCCGTAGTCGGAATGAAGATGTAAAAAGAAATCGGTCCCTCGTCCACTCGCAATTTCCTGGCTACCGTACGCACTGTAATAACAGGCGGGTACATAAAATATATCGGTGGCTCATGCCTCGGTCATACTTCGTGTTCTAACGAAAATTTTAGAACTTTTTGCTTAGCACAGGATCTAACGAATTTGTTTTAAATGTTTAAATGTTTAAATGTTTTAAGTGTTTAAGTGTTAAACTGTTCGCAAAAGTATGCTTAGGACAGTTTTATCGGTGTACTAGTCATACCGCTAAAACTGTTCTGATAGAGACTTCACTCGTTTTATCCAAAAATTTGAAAATAAAAATCAGACTACTGTAGCATCGCTTCATCAGAGTACCACGAACTTCCAAAACGCAGAAGAATGTGAATTTAGGCTTTCGTATTTTAAAAACAGTTTTTGCCAATATTACGCGATGCAGTTTCCGGTTTTCCGAAAGAAACAAGCATTACTGTCTCTTATTATTCTTTGTGCCGCCCTAATATCTCGTCGCAATGCTCGGAAAAAACGGCCACAACGGAAAAAACGAGCCTCGTTTTTTTGCTCCCATTTTTTGCTCATTTTGTACCAGTTATGAACGGTCAAATTATTACAATTTTTGGTTAATTATTACAGATGTTGATCGCGCTTTTAAATGATATCAACAGAACTCGTTTCCAAATAAGTTCAAGAATACTGTTTGCTTTTGATAGTACTTTTTACGTGTATTCAAATGATATCCGCATTATCAAGACATATAAAAATGGGAATACGGTGTTATAACCAGGATCCTATCATGCGCGCTACTATTGGTTAAAAGTACTAAAACATCTTAAGAAGTTTGATTAGGCCCCTCCCCACTAAAACATGTTTTATATGGTTATAAAACAAGTTTTACAGATTTTGTTTGAAGAGTGGTCATAGTTTTTTGTTCTAAACATCTTAAGAAGTTTGATTAGGCCCCTCCCCACTAAAACATGTTTTATATGGTTATAAAACAAGTTTTACAGATTTTGTTCGAAGAGTGGTCATAGTTTTTTGTTCTAAGAAAAAGGTCCTTAGAACAGCTTGCGATCATACTGTTAACACATTTTTTGATTAGAACTGTTTTAAAGGCTTCGAACACGAAGTATGACCGGGGCATCAGACGTAACCCGACGATCAGAAATTTGGACACGCACAAAATGCATCCACCCAACTTCCAAGTGTCAGAACCGGCAAGCACTAACACGGATTTGATATTTGAAGCTCACTTACGAGAGCAGTGCCTGCAAGGTCCAGTTTTCGATATTCGTCCACTCGCTTGCACCGTTGGGGAAATGTATCAAAACTGGCTTCTTGTAGCGATATTCTCTTTCAAACACTTCTTCTGACAAATCCGACACACTGATCCTATCGAAGTCACAGTGGTCAACAAAGTGTCTTTCTCGGTCAATGTCGCTGACTTCCCGCCATCCGCCATTTTTTGTGGATACTTCCGTTAAGTTACGAAGTGGTTTCACGTTTGTGAGGTATCTGTTTGCATGAGGATCATTTTCGAAACCCGGCCACTGCAAAATTAAAATAAAAGATTTTCGGTCCGGCTTAGCGTGAAACGTTTTCAGTTCGCACGGACATTGCTGATATCACAGTGCAAAATGGGCTTGCAGTTCGAAGTTTCTACCGAATATCGCTTGTTTTCTATTAATCTTTAATTATCGTCGAGATATGTTTATTAATTGGACCCCTATTGGCTGCGTATTGTATACGGCGCACAATTACTACGAGTACAACTATTACTACAAGTCTACAATTGTTGCAGCATCTGGCAAAGTATAGAGTCCGTGCAACAGTTTTGATGACCGAAAAATATTTATGCTCGCTAGAATCGCTAGTTACACGCTCGTTATTAACTAATACAGGCAGTTAGGATGTCAAAATTGTCCGGATAACTCACCAGCTCAGGAGTGCGCCCCCAAAGACCCAACAGTCTTGCCAACTTTATGGCCACATAGCAAATGGGATACCCAAACAGGAGCCAAAGAATAAACAGTTTTATCGATGGAGATAATCTTAGTATGATGGTGGATCTAGGAAGAATCCACGGACAGAGACAGAAACGGAATCTATCCTGCAGAGTGAGCAGTTTTGTATACTACGAGTTATGCGGAAACGCAAGACACCCGACAATCAACTGCACACTTTATCCATTCACATGACACTACAGAAGCTCCCGCAGCAGAATGCTGCGGGGCTAAATGACCAGCAAGTTTGTCAGACGACGATGGCTAGCAACTGAAGAATCTACCAGATTGAAGATCTGGTAGATGAAGAAATTCAACATCAAAATACAGCAAAACAACTTAGCACCCGCACCAGTGCGGGCGTACGGGAGGCCACTCCTCCTCACATTAGGAACCAACGACACAATGACATTTTTCCGGTAACAGTCAATTTCAGTCAACACAGTTACACAAGTATCGTTATCTGCTGTAAGGTATAGCATAAAATATTAGTTGTGCACGACAACTAAAAGCCAACACGTAGCTAGTCGGTAGTAGGCTAGTAACTACTGAATTCCGGTATACTGCATGTATTGCATACCGGTATACCGAGCCGAGACCAGCGAGAGTTCCGATTCAGCCTCGGATCGGCATCAGGATGGGCCCGATGATGTTCAAAATTGCCCTCATTAATCAGGATTACAGTAACAAAGGGTTTTTGTGTTGATAGACACTAGACAGCAGTCCACATCGAACAAGAGTAAAACGTACAAGCTGACCCTATTTTGAGCCACAGTCCGGACAGAATGGGCTGTTCACCGAGGGCAATTCTTCTGTAACCGGATCTGGGCAATCTGATCTATCTCCATAAGAAACATCTCAGAATTAAGCGCCAAATTCTATAAAATTGCTTCAGTCAACCGATTGCTGAAGACTTAACTCACCAGAGCTTACGAGCAACGGCCTAAAACTTTCTGTAAATTTTTCTTCTGTCGATCTCTTTCATTTTTGGATATTGCGACCTACTGAAAGATCTCCCAGTAATCGAGGACTGTCAGTTCAGTAAACTGCACGTTAAAAGTGCCACTTCTGTGAAGCAAATTGCCCGTTGCGGAAGAATTTCGATTTGGAAATGGCAGGCGAACATCCGCGAACTAGAGAATCTTTTCGACAACGAGGAGCAGGAGAGTTCTACACGTATAGCGGCACCTATCGCGGACTTTCGTCGTGAACTGCAGAATCTGCGTGCCAGGAGATATCTGTGCGATGTGCTACTGAAAGGTACAGAAGATGGCTCCTTTGGAATTCCTTGTCACCGCAGTATTCTCAGCGCCCACAGCGAATACTTCCGCACCATGTTCCTGTCGGGAATGAAGGAAGCCAGGCAGGAAGTCATACAACTGCACAACATCTCCCGTGATATCCTCTCCAAGTAAGCTTGTATTTAACAATCAGAATTTCTTGGCTCTGGTGCTGCACACGCAGTATGCGCGAAGATGGGGAACGATTATCCCTTGCACAGCCTAAGAAATTTGGTGAAACATATTTGAGTTCGCCAAAATTAATTTAAAAAAACCCCTTAAACTTTTTCCGATAGATTTCCAATTTTTATTACGCATCTTGCAGCTAAAGGTAACTAAACCAATGGTTGCAGGTTGGTTGAATACTGCTACATGGCGGACATCCCCATCAACGGAAGTAACGTGCAGCCTATGTTCATTGCTGCGAAATTTTTGAACATGACCCCCGTCGTGGATGCCTGCTGGGAATATATGGAGGATCACATAGACGTTCGAACCTGTTTGACGCTGTACTGTTTCGCCGATTCCGTTGCCCATAAGAATTCTGCATTAGCGGTCAAGGCGAAGTCGTTAGCCCTAAAACATTTTGTGGCCCTCTCACAAGGAGCGGAATTTCTGGAAATGCCGAAATATACGGTACAGTGCATACTTCATATTGACTGTTTGTGAGATCGGTAGTATCATTAGTACTAGTATGTATACTGTAGCGTATGATATGGACTCGTATCGTAGCACTTTAATGTGTATCGCAACTGAGCAGAGAACTGACTGAATGTCATGGGAAGAACCGTAACCAGAGAACAGGAGAAGCATAGAAAGTTACTAAGACGAAGGACAGAGAACAGAAATATAGAAAGTACAAGAAGGTCAGAAGGTCAAGAAACACGCGAATCTAGATACACCACACTGTTTTATGTAGCCCAAAAACGTTCCGCTCGATTATTGGCAAAGGTCGTGACACCGGCCTCTCTACAGTAATAGTGCAAGTTAGTAACTATTGTCTGCATACCGGCCTTAGCGCTAGCTTTTCATAGATTATGGAGCTCATTCGTTCCGATGCTCTAAACGTGCCACGAGAAGACGATGTGTTGTACGCCCTCCAACGGTGGCTCCATCATGACTCTCGGAAACGCCGGCGTCAGTTTTGGGAGCTATTGCAGCTGATTCGGCCAGTACACCTGGGTCCCAAAGGCAGCGACGACTATTTGCTGGCTTGTGTTAACGCTATCAGAGAGTACTGTGCACGTGGCGGAGCAAACGAACCGTCGCATTCAATCTACCTGGATGCGCTGCCAGGATGTGACAGCGAAACACTCTCCTCCCGACACACTCCAAGGAAATCGTATAGTAAGTTGAATAAGTTATCATCTGCGGCGTGTGCTCTGAATGAAATCAAATTTTATCGAGAATTACAAGGACCTATCTAGGTATAATCTTTTCGAACGTCTTGGACAAGTACGTAATATTATGTATTAGAAAAAACGTTAGTTGTAAAAAATTGGCCATATTATAGAGGGAAACACTCCATACACTACCTTTCGTTCCGTATAATACCTTTTTGCACTAACTTTCATTTGGTACACTATCCTTTCGAGTACTCTCTTTGACTTCATGCACCACCATTTGGCACTACCTTCTCCTGCTTGCGCAACCTTTTGTTTTCTAACTTCTTTACATAAAAGTTATTTCCGGAACTGCCGCTTTTTCGTTGGCTGCATCGTCAGCAGTAAAAAATCGAATTCCCGTGAATAAGTTACTTTTGGCGCCCGTGTGCCGTTTTTCTTCGCATGGTTTGGAGTCTGGACAGTGCAATTTTATATCAATGTACTGTTATGTACAGTAAGAAGCCTCAGCGTACTCGTACTGTAAGTATAATATGTGCCGTATATAATATTACGGAATGGTTTTGGAAGTATGGCAGTGCACCAAGTGAATGGTAGGGTAAATGGTGTGTTCCGAATGAATGGTTATAATGTTAAAGGTCGTTTACCAAATGAGAATTAGTGCCTGAAAAGGCAGTGCACAGTATGAGAGGAAGTGCACAAGGTAGTGTACGTAGTAAAAGGTAAGGAAAGATAGTGTACAGAGCATCCGCTATTATAAAAACGGAAAAGATAATGCACTACACTACACGGCATATCATGTTGCCACTTCCTGTTCTCATATGCGGAAAACAAGCGTCCACTAGCTGACTCGATTATCCGGTGTTTTTTCGACTTTATACGTCGCAATCCTAGCTGTGTAGTAGTAATCAGTTCGATTAAGAAAAATCTTTTGCAGCACCACACCATACAATCTTCATACCATGCAAACCATCTCTAAAACAAACTAACTTCATACATTTTGTGGTGCATGCTTAGTCTGCATCTAGTATAGAGTATCGGATACGTCTACTGTATTTTTATCGCCGTAGAGTAGGTTTTGAGAGTTTTATTATCTGTGCTGGCGGCGAGGGCAATCCAGTGAAGGACAGCGTCGACTGCTTCAATCCACGGACAGCAGTATGGAAAAAATTGCCCCCGTTGCCGTATGGCGTGGCGAGAGCTGGCTTAATGGTCATCAACAGCACTTTGTTCGTATGCAACGGAGTTGTCGGTCCGCGAGCTTTTGACGTGACCCGACGAACAGTTCGCTACGATGCCGTCTCCGCTACCTGGGCCGACGTGCATCCGATGCAAACGGGGCGCGGTGATGCCGGTTTTACCGCCACCGACGGTCACATTTACGTGATTGGTGGGCATGCTGAGGATAAGCGGGTACTGTCATCGGTGGAACGCTATGATGTGGTAGCGAATCGGTGGACCTTTGTAGCTCCCTTACCAGTGTCGCTTAGAAGGTCCGCCGTGGTCTGCTACGAAGGCCAGGTATTCTTGTTTGGAGGTTGCACGTCGATAAGGGAGATTGGCACTAATGCGGCATTCTGTTACGATCCCAAATCGGATTTATGGAGTGCACTGCCGCCGATGCCCACCGAACGGTATCGCGCTTCGGCCTGCGTCGGATCGGACGGATGGATTTATGTCATTGGTACGATTAAGCATGTAGTGAAACGGGCTGTTGATTTGTTTGCTGCCACTTGATTGCTGCACTGCGGCCACAGGCATAATGGCCGGGTTTACGCTGGAAAGTGAACGAACTCCCGGGTAAACCTAATGCCTTATCAGTAAAGTTTTGGTTGTTTGGTAGGTGGATACAACAGAACTTTCGAAAGCTGTGTAGAGGCGTATAATCCCCGGACTAAGAAGTGGACCAAGGGACGTACGTGCATCTGCATCTTGCTAACCGAACCGCACAAATCTCTGGTATAAACCTACTCTTCATTAAATCGTAGGCGACATGAATCGTCGGGTGTCTCCCGCCGGAACTTGCTGTATAGGAAACAGCATATATGTCCTGGGTGGCATTAATGGAAATGGTGATCCGAAACCGATCGAAGTACTCGATGTATTTTCGGGCACATGGACGTCCATAGAAAGTCAGCTGCCGATTTCAAAATATGGATTTGGCTGTGGTGTACTGGAAATCGCAAAGGAACAAGGCGAACAGTTTTTCAGTAAAATGTTTTAATCGTGGTCGTGGAGTGAAATATCGTCATTTAGTAAAATAGCCTAACTTTGTAGTGGCTTTTATACAACCTAACCATTTCCGTATGACTGTTTGGAAAAGCTGTTTACGGGAGTAGAAAGCGGGATGTTGAAGTTGCCTGGTTTTCTGTTTTTAACCTTTGTGAGTCGTATGCTGTACATTGTGCGGTTTACTGCTTCGATGTACCATGACATGGAATTTGTCTACTAAATAAACTAAAGGTTCGATTGGACGTTACAGTAACTGTTACAGTAACTGTGTAACTATCGTACAAGACTAGAAGTCCCAATACATGCATGAGTAAGTTGTTGGACTGTCAGCGCAAACGAGCGATTGCAGATGTTTACGCGCAGCCACTTCGGTATTGTGCAATTAAGCATAATTTTATGGAAACCGTTATAGGCACCCCCTAAAACCTCCGTTTATTATAGGCACCCCTTTTCGCACCATGTTTATTATAGGCACCCATTTTTGATTAATATGGTACATTGTAGTGATTGTACTATATGACTCGAGACGTTCAAGGACACGCTCTAGAGCCTTCCCTTAAGCACAAAAATTTTTGTGAAAGTGTGCACAACAGAGAATACGAATAGAACGGCAATGGAATCCGCTAACAGAAGAAAGGTGGAAACGTTACCGGAAAATCGCCGCACTAGCCATGTTTAGGCACAGAAGGTAGTATGAATGCAGAAATCCTTCATGCCAGGGCAATTCAGCGACAAATATTGCTAAAGAGACCGGCAAGGGTGTGCACAGGCTGCACAGCCCAACATACAGAGTGAGACCGGCAAGGGTGTGCACAGGCTGCACAGCCCAACATACAGAGTACAAAATTCGCAATAATGCGGAAAAAAGTGGGTCGTGGTGAACGTTCGTTTGAGGGAATCGTTAAGCACCCTTTAAACGAATATTAATGTGTAAGATCCCAACGCTTTCGTGAATATGGTGCTGTCTGACACCTGAACACTGACATGCTTCGGTGTCGCCGCATGTCCAACTGCAGCTTTCCATGCTGTACGCTGGCGAACACAAGCCGGTCACTGTAGCATTTCCAGTTGTCCTGTTGCCGGGGTCCAGTCAGGGCGGCCCGATCGTTTTGTCCTACATTGCTGAAACGATATCTGTAGTATCGCCCACGAACACCGTATCAACAAAAGCCGCGGCTCAAAAGCCTTACAAGCTGAAAAAATCACGAGGTGATAACGGCTTGGAAGGAAGCCAAGGAATTAGTGGACAGACGCGAAAGATGAGCTTCTGGACCAGAAGTCCTGGTCACAGTAGAACAGGCGAAACTAATTCGCTTTAGGCTGGCTGATTTGCCGAGTCGTCCTATTATCGGCCTGATGTACTAAACTCGACGCCAGAGAAACAAATTACTGTAAACTTTTACTGTAGTAATTAAATTATTACGAGATATCTAATAAGGCTGCATTATTACCTAAGAACACCAAATCTATTATTTATCATATTAAGGTAAAAAGGGTGCCTATAATAAACGGGGTGCGAAAAGGGCCTATAATATACGGGGGTTTTAGGGGGTGCCTATAAGGGTACCCTAATTTTATTTCGAAATTGCACTACGTATGAAAGTTTCATTAAAACTGGCAACGAAATTATATTCACAACAATAAAATGTCGTTTAACTGTGCAGTGTAGTCGGAAGTATTGTAGCTGTAGGCTTGTAGCCTTTAAACGACATCGCGCTGAAACAAACCATAATTTTGGAAATTATATTATGATAACTGAGGTACATAAAGCTTTGTGCTATAAAGAAAATCTAAAAGTATCAGACCCAGGGAAAAAATGCAAGCTGTAGTATCCGAAACAGCCAAACGCGCTCGCTTCCAAACGACAAAAGGAAATTGACAAGTAATTTGCCGTGTTTTTGCGGTTAGGATAGCGAGAAACACGACAGAAATTCCATTCTCAAATAATATAATCTGCTAGCGGCAAATTACGGGAAAATAATGGCGGCTTCCCGTTTTCTCAGGGTATAAGAGTAATCATGACCTTTCCCTTTGCTAAGCCTCGGGCTCCGTTTTGGCTGGGAAAGTGGCCAAGACCACATGCTTGGGACTAGGTGAGTAACCACCAAATATCCACCATAACCATTACTGATGGAAAGATGGAAAGCAGCATATATGAGTATGTCGCTCTCGCTTTGCTGTTACAACTTACAAGTACCCGTTCTAATCATTTAATTAAGCTTTAGGTAACAAACCATTTCATGTTTTACCGTCGCCGCAGTACTTGTAAAATTGTAATGAAGAGACTGCCATCAGCGTAAGGTTAAACGAGCAGCTCGGCCACACAGCCGCTGCATACAAAAAAGACAACACCAAAACGAAAGTAACTAAAGTGAAAGTAAGATTCTTCACGAAAGAGAAATGAGTTTGCTGTTGTCACACACTCAAGTTGTCAAACCGTCAACCTTTACCGTCAAGTTGTCAAACCGTCAACCTCAACCTTAAAGTTACAGACAGTCTGTCAGGAAAACAACGGTTTGCTATCCATTCTTCGCCTTCCAGAACACGGCATCAGGTCCATACAGCCGTAAATCCGCGAATACAACCGTACGTGGGCCGTGCAGCATGACTTGCTGCCTCCCATCCGGTAGTGCGCGGTCGTAGTGTGCAAAGCCCCTAAACAGTGGACGTAAACCAGATGGCCCTTTTCAGGATGTCCTTAGCACGAATAATCTTGTCGGCTGTTGCGGTGCCTGGCATGATCCAGCTCCTGAACAAAGTGAAGGTGACATGCTGCGGATGGACCTCGCAGATCCTGGCTGGTTCCCAAAACTCTCCAGTATCACTAGCGGTATGCACGAAAACTTCGTCCCCTGCTTGAAAAATCGTGGCCGCAATCACCACCTGCCGCTGTTCGGTACGGCGTTCCGTGGGAAACGAGATTTCCGGCTTGACGGTGGCACTTTGGTACATGAACACGCTCAACAGTTCAGCGTCGGTCAGCAGGCCGCTCTACCACAATACAACAGGGAAAACTTTAAAGAAAGGAGAAATCTGCATAAAATGACTGCAATTCAACGGTTCCAGTACATCGAAGCCTTACCGGTTGACCTACCTTGCCGGGACCGTCAGCCAATTGCGTGTTCGTCAAGAGAGGGAATCGCACGTGGAACAAAGCCGCACCTAACATTTGACGCCGATTGGCAGCAGACGTATCTAAGGCGCCACCTGCACACGCGGCTGCTGACCACCTGCGAAAACAGTTAGGAAGGCAGTGTATTTGAGTCGCTGACGGTATCAAATTTTGTAACGGTGATCTCACGTTTGCAGGCTTCTTAGTTCAAAGTTCCCACTATACACCGCTGTTCCGGTTTACGCAGTTAGTAAAATAACTTTTTTAATAACTACCTACTAACTGATCCTACTACCAAGAAATCACGCACCTTTCAACCGCAAGATACACATCGTTCTCCTCCGCAGACAGGGTGTCGCGCTGCAAGATGCTTTGCAGTACATCCTGAGAAATCTCGGTGAATTGATCCGACTGCAGAATCGCGCTAGTGTTCGCATCAATCAATGTCAAACACCTCTCCACAATGCTCACCGCAAAAGAACCGACTGCCTGCAGTCGAAGACAGCGTTCTAAAGGTAAGTACGTGACCAGTAACAACGACTCATGCTGTAAACGGCTCATTTCACCGACTGAGAAAATGACTGCACCTGCTTCAGAGTTTCCAAACAATTAGTGGGAGTCAGCTGGTTCACAACAAAATCCGAGCAGATTTTAACCAGCAGCGGCAAATCGTACTTGTCGGCACAAAACATAGTGAAGAAGACGTTATCCGCAGTCAGATTGTCCATCGTGTCCGTGTACAGGAAACTACAACGTGAACGACGAAATGTCGCTTAGGAAGCCAAGTTCAAAATCATCAGCCAACCGAAGATATGGTTTATACTCTACAGTATATTTTGTAACTTCCACAGCTGCTAAGATATGTCTTCAAGACTTTCTAGGAACCAGAAAATATGGAAGTTTCGAGCCAACACCAAAGCCAGTTTAATACACAAGTCCCGACAAACCTAAGCATGTTGCCGAAGGCATCGCGTTGAATATCAGAAATGTCGATGGCATTGTCACCTTTTTCAGGCAGACTCCCGTAGAACATGCCACGAAAGACAGCGCTGCGAATGCCCAAGACGAACCTATACATTGCGAGGTTACTGTGGCGATGCCAGCGAAGGTAAATCTCCGAAAAAAACCACACTGCCCCAGTCACTCTACTTGTGCGCGTGAAAGATCTGCGCAGTGCCAAAGTCGCGTCCTACTGCAAACCGCACATCACTGAGCTCTCCACTCGACCAAGCGTATTTCACAAAGTCAGATATTCGGTCGCCGGAGCGAACTCGCGACCCATGCTCTCCCTTGTCAGGAATCGCAAGTGACATATTCGTGGCCATAATTAAAGGGTTAAATATCTTTTTTCTTGACTTTGATCAGCTACGATATACGAATCAATGGTCAGTGCAGAAAAAGGAAGTTACAGAATGCAGGAAGAACACCGACGCAAAATTTGACAACAAAATAAAACGTTATTAGAAACGACATCAGCCTAAACTGTACGATGTTACCGCCTCGAGTTGGCTGATCAACAGGATAACTTGCAATCACCATGGTGCGGCGTTTCCGTGAAGTTTCATGAACAGTACCAGTACAGGCTGAGTACAGTACAGAAGTACAAAATTAATTGAAATTAGGAAAAGTCTGTCAGTTTGTCACTGTTTGTGGTAATCAAGTCGGTTGTCGTTGATATTTTTGGAAATTTCTTTTTTCTTAACTTCTTTGGTATTTATCAATTAATCTGATGTCGATCCCAGAAATCCGATCATGTCCACGAACGCCGTTCTCCCTGACGGTGGCATTCCTGAGCCTGTCCCGGGAATCAACGGAATTGTCGAGTTTGTGAAGCAGTCACTGGCGAGTGGGGAACTCGCTGACGTGCGTTTTAATGTGGGTCGCCAAACCGGTCTGGTTAAGGATTTCTCTGCACACAAGTAAGATGGCGTGCTTCGAAGGCGCAGGTTGAAAGCTGAGTTACCTAATCTGACAATCTGCCCACATAAACATTGTAGGTCGTTAACTTCGTGCAGTATTTGCGCAGATATTGCAAGTGTTGCTAACGTTTGCAGGTTCGTGTTGGGCTTTCGGAGCACGGTATTTCGGACCATGTTCTACGGCAGTCTGCCTGAGAAGCATCCCAGTGCCATCGATATCCCGGATCTTCAACCGGACGCTTTCGCCATCATGCTCAGGTGCGTGATTCAGTGTGGGAAAATTCCAATAGACGTCGGCTACTTTGTTGATGCCCAAAGGAACCGACGTCAAAAGAGCCGCGGTTTACGGTATTGTATGCTCCTCTTTGATTTCGGTTTTGCAGCTTCGTGTACACCGACGCAGTGGATGGTCTGAGCGCTGACAATGTTTTCGGGACGATGAAGTGCGCCGATAAATACGATTTGCCGCAGCTTCTCAAGATCTGTACGGACTTCGTCGTCGACCAGCTGAAACCTGAAAACTGTCTGACGACTATGAAACTGGTGCGGTGTCTTCGGTGTTCGACTCACCGCTTAGGTTTTCATCAAGAATCAGAGTTCAAATTTGCCTGCAGGCACTTGACTGGCAAGCGGAGAACATCGTGGAGAAGTGTCTGGCTCTGGTGGATACGAAAACTGCAGCGGTTCTGTGGTCGAAGGAATTTACGAAAATCTCGCGATCAATGCTGCATACGATTTTGCAGCGCAGCGAGCTGTCTGCGGAAGAAAACGTTATCTACTTGGCAGTTGAACGGTACGTACAGTCGAAGAAACGCTGCTGACATTATACGGATACTTATGGTTTCGTTCTTGCAGATGGGCAGCAGCGGCGTGCGCTCGTAGCTTCATGGATGCCTCGGGTGCAAATCGCCGTAAGGTCTTAGGTGACGCTTTATTTCTCGTCCGCTTTCCGCTGTTGGGTAACGCCCAGTTAGCTGATGGCCCCGGCAAGGTGAGTCGGCGAAATGCTTAGTTTTTTTCTTGTCTTGAATTGGATTCCCGGCCGATTTCGTAACACTTTCACTGCGACAGAGTGGCCTGCTGACGGAAGCGGAGATGCTGAACTTGTTTATGTACCGGAATGCCGCGGTGAAGCCACACACCCCGTTTCCCACAGCACACCGACGATATCCCTTCCGAGCGCCTTCGAGCCGGCCTCTGTTTTCTCTTAGTGGCGGTGGCTTGAAACGATCGGCGGGATCCGTTTGGCCGTGGCCGGAACCCGTTGGCGTACCCAGCCTGTTCGCAGCAAAGCGTCGATGAAAATGGATGTTGTGTGAGGCACACTGTTGTGGTCAATTGGCGTTTTGTTGCCGATTGGGATTATGGAATACAGAGGCTTTCTCGATTTTTATGATTCTGAACTGCAGATTCTTGACAGTTTTAAAATGAAAAGCAGATTTCCTATGTTGGTTTAAACGGATTTAAATCTTGGATTAATTAGTGCTCTCCTGCACATGCTCGATTTTTTCCAATGACCAATGGATTTCTTTGGTTTATGACGTTTATAAAACTTAATAAGTCTTCCAGCAAAATTCCTTCGTGTTTATTTAAATGGATCGTGGATTCAGCGGCATTCTCTCCATTTTGAATCTTGGCATTAATAATTTGATGCCACGCTTTATGCACTATCGACCGAAACAACGTGGAAGAAATTCTGATCGGGTAAACGATGGCGGAATAAATTCATAAGAATAACATAACAAGCGGAATCTGCTTTCCTCACACGCCGGCGTCATATTCGAGACTTCATCTGTTTCTGACTGCGAGTTAGTGGTTTAGTCACTAGTGTACGTTGTATTCTTGAACTTTCTTCTGATCCTAAAGTCAACTTCCAAATTAATAATGGTCATAACAATTCAGTGACACTGTTACGCTGGTATAAGAAAACGCATACGTTTTATTGGTATCTATTTCGTAGTTTGTTGCACACAGTGCTGGTACTATCTTTCGTTCCATTTTTGTTTTGGAATCCGAACCGAGCCGTGCACTGTTTTCATGGCCGATATTTATCGCGCCGAAGAGGCTCGGTCGGTAAATTTTCGGTATTAGCTGTCATTATTTGCAGCTTCAACAAGGTGCAGTTTCGAATTTCGATGATTGGAGTGTGGCAAAATTTAAAGCTAGACAATTTTGTCGCAGTTTGGGTATTTTGCCAACCTTTAATTTGTTTTTAATTTCTTCCTTTTTGAACCGTATCCACCATTTAGTTCAATTTGGAGCTTTCTACATTTTGAGAACCTGCGCCCTTTTTTGATTGTGTATTGTAAACCGACTGATGTTTGTGAAAATCCCGAAGTTCCTTGTAATCGTATTCCGAGAGTGTCACGTCGTCGCCTGATCGGACAATAAACAGCCATAAACAATTCATAATGGCCTCCACAAATCCTGCATCATCAAAGGTATCCCAAAAGCATGGACCCGTCTCGACCCTCGCCAGTAGCATGAAACAGATGCTGACCAGCGGAGAACTGAGCGATTTGAAATTTGCTGTTGGATGTCAGCTTGGCCCGGTGCAGATCTTCCAGACCCATAAGTAAGCAATGTTCTCTGATAAGCGATACGGATGATTTCAGAGCCGGGTTTTTGCAGTTCCATTCATTCTCGCATTTAATTGCAGGTACGTCATGAGTATGCGTGGCTCCGTGTTCCGCACCATGTTCTACGGAAGTCTGCCCGAAAGCTGCGAAGCCCCCATCGAGATTCCGCATTTTATTCCCAACTTGCTCAGGTACTTGCTTGAGTGGCTTTGGTCTTACTTACACATTTCACATTTACTTTCACATGTCTTCTGGAGGATTTGCGTTGAGCAGCATGGTCACCGAGCTTTACCTAGCAAAAACAGTATTTCCATTTGAGTGTCTGGGTTTTCATTTTCATGTACACGGATCAAGCGGAGAACCTGAGCGCTGACAATGTTTTCCACACGATGAACTGCGCTGACAAGTACGATTTTGCACCATTAGTGCATGCGTGTCTGGAGATGATCTACAGCCAGCTGACCGTCAATAACTGTCTATCCGCTTTGGAACAGGTGCGTCTCTAAAAGCGCTGAAGAACTAAGCAAAATCTTGGGATGTACTAGTAACGACGATGGAGTTGCAGGCCATCTGTTGGCACGTTGATGGTGTCGCGGAGAAATGTTTCAATTTGTTGGATGAAAAAGCCTCTGGTATTCCCTACCATCGATAAAGACCTGCTGAGCATGATATTTATTACTTGGCTGTTCAGCGGTAATCAGTTGCGATCACATCAACATTTTGATGTGGAAGTATGGCGTGACACTTTAATTTATGCAACCTTTAATAAGTATCATGGTACTTTAATTTAATTTATGCAACCTTTAATAAGTATCATGGTACTTTAATTTATGCAACCTTTAATAAGTATCATGAGTACAAACTATGCACCAGAACAAAACGGCATTTATAAAAGAAACACTTCCTCTATGCTATCCTGATCGGGGATCGTACCCATTACACAAATTGCGTTTCCCCGTTGTATTTGCGTAGATATTCGCTGTTTAAAAAACTCTTTCGCCCGCTTTTGGCCAGTTGAAGCCGCTATACCGTTTCCAACCGTTTCCACTAGCTTCTTAGTACCGTCTCCAAAAGGTCCGTAAATTTCGAAGGCTGCAGCAACGAAATCGTATCCTGTTTGCATCCAAGCGTGTTTCGCTAGTTTCTTCCTTTCAGCGAGTTCGGCTGCTGCGCCGGCATTCACGGAAGTGCGGTCGATGTACGAGGCTGCCAGCGTGTCCACGCAGGTGACATCCACTGCCAGCGGTTTTCCGCGCTTCCACGGAATGAGGCTGATCACATCCGGCCCCCTCTTATCTTTCAAGGACAGACCTTTTGGTTCCATTCTCGAAGGAAAGCCAGCTGCTGACACTTGCTTCTGCAGATGGGCCCATGCAGCGTGCGTTCGAGAGGACTTGGAACCGTCCCCCGTGAACCGCCGTCAGATGTTGGGCGACGCGCTCTATCTACTGCGCTTTCCGCTACTAACCGGCACGCAACTGGCTGACGGTCCCGCAGAGGTAGTACTATCTTACTTTAGCGCTCACTTTACTTCCTCTACATACGTTGAACGGTTTGGCTCTAATGACTCGCTTCTTACTCGCTAAAATGTGAACTGACTTGCTGGTCACATCGTTTGCGCTAAATCTGCATTTTGTTTAACCGGCTGCTGCATTTTTTTCGATAACGGTCTTTTTACTGACCGACACACGTTTGTGTTGGGCCCGTAGCTAGCAGCTGCGTTTCGCATGGCTAACTGGATTTTTATTGTGTCGGCTAGATTCCGCTGTGTGATACAGAGTACAGTTTGTTTGTTTGGAGAATCGGGACCATTCATGTATTTAAAATAAACTTTATGCACTACTTCTTTGATAATATCTGAAAATAATAAGAAGTGGATAGCGACATAAGCATATTGTGTCTTCGTTTTTCTCAGCGTCGGCTTCCATAATCTAGTTCGCGTGTGACTACGGCGAGTTGGATTTGTTCTAACATGACTATACAGTGACACCACTATAATTATTTCAAAGCGCTACAAGTACCTAATAGAAACAAATGCCTACCGGAAATTGTCTACCTTAGAACGCGTAAGATTTATCTGTGGTTTTTACAGCAACTTTTTCATGACATCTTAAAGCGCCATACCTGTTTATTTATTCATGAAATTCACTTAAGCTTGTCACGGTTCGTTAAAGTCAGGTTACGGCTTGTTCAGCGTTCGCAAATAGCACGCCAGTTATTCCATCTCATAAAGTGCACTTTTCCAAGCAAAATTATTCAACTTCCAACTTTTCCAAGCAAAATTATACAGCTTTTCCAAGCAAAATCAATCTTGTGGTTGGGTTGGCTGAATTCTATAAGGACACGTGCTATCTAAAGGCTACATCGGATTTTAGCAAATATCAACTCCTAAACCATTAAAAAGAATAAAAACCTTCACAGATTTTGTTTAATTTGCGTATCTTATTCGCCGCACCGATGAACCGGAAGGTCGTGCTGTGTACATCAGAAAAGAATATCAGATACCATTGATTTGCGAATAACAGAACCGAGAAAACACCGGATCACCGGCACAGTTTTGAGATTTTATAACATCCGTTACGTAAAATATTTCGTTTAGAAGTTGGAGCAAAAACACAGCTGCATTTGTAAGCGAGCGATGCAGATGCTCGGAACTGAGCAGTTTACATCCATGACGGGACTCTCATCTACAGCACCGAACAAAGTCGTCAAGCATGACGACGACGAATAAAGCCCAATTGACGCAATAAACAATCCATCCAGGTCATACCCAGACAGAAATCATTACGACCTATTTTTTTCCCTGAAGACTGCGCCTGGGGACCTTTGCGTCCCTCGGGATCAGAATCCGGTTTCGGACACTGGTCAGCGAGCACGCAAATTGTTGCCTCACCAAAGGTTTGTGCATAGGAGCGCAGCGTTCCAGGTTCGCAAACGCACTGGCGTGGCCGTGGACATGCAGCATAAGTCACAAAACACGGTCTCACTTGGGGAAACTGGCATGTCGGCTCACAGTTAAAACAACCGAGCATCTCGTACTGGCCGGGGCAGGTGGGTTCCTTGGGTGGGCATTCTTGGGGCAGCACGCAGGTTCCTTGCCGAGTGCGCATCATGCCCGGCTCGCAGACACAGACGCGTTTATCGGGGCAATCGGTCCACCTCACTGGGCAAGAAGGGTCGATAAAAGAAAAGTCGCATGTTGGCTCACACCGAGCGCAACCCATGATCTGGTGGCTGCCGGCGGGGCAGGAGGCGGGCGCCGGGGTCGTTGTTTTCGGTGCGCCGCCGGGGCACTGACTGGGCAGCACGCAGCTGGAGGGGATATTGTAATCCCCGCGTGTTGCGTTGCGCAGAAATCCTGGCTTACAGACGCAGTCTCGTGCTCCTAACGGATGTTCGGGACAGTTGGCCGAAACCAGTTCACAACCAGGGTTGGGGTTGTTGCAGTACGGCTCACAGGCGAGACAACCGTCGATGTAGACTGGTGGAAGTGCCAGGTGGCAGTTCTTTGCCGTGCCGCAGTCGAACAAAAGCGTTGCGACTAATAGAAGAGCTACAGCCGCCACCGTCAACTCCATCTTCCCGAATATGAACGGAAAAATAATAGCGACGTACAGTGAAAAGTCGTTAAGTTATAAGTGAAAGTACCGGCGTACTTTGCAGAAAAATATTTACGCAACGCGGTATCAGGTATACGTACATCTGCTGCATTTTGTGGCAGTTTACTTGCTACTTGCCTTTCCTTATATACCACTGTGTCAATTTGTCCAAGGAAAGTTTTCTCCTTGTTTTGGCGTGCCTGGACGTTTTCCAAAAACATAACCATTAACTTAAATTACTGTACATTTTTTTCTGCCAAAATACCTGGACACGTTATCGATTGCTCTAATCACGTAAAGATTAGCAATGGCAGAGTGCATTCATCATTATGATTTATGCATACGACTATACGAGTTATGGTTATGACTGGCAAAATACATTAATTTTTGTCATGATGTGTACGTACCCAGCGTAATTTGGTCAGTTAAATGCCGCACTACTCCGTAAATTTGTTCAAGTTATACATCAGGTTTCCTCTACGCAAAAAAGCCATAACACAGCTGCCACCTGAGGTTACGTCAGATGCACATAAGTGACATAACCATATAATAATTGCGAGTACTGCGGAGCATTACGGATGCTTGCATATTAGGTTGTCTTGCCACATTTCCTTTATTCCAACCCGAGCTGGCACATCCGGTACAAAGTAGCTCTGAGGCGTTTGTCACGAATGGTTTATGGACATCGTCAAAAATAATAATTATTAATGGCTTTTCTTTCTTGAATTTGACAACGTACTGAGAAAAGACAGCCATCCAGACCATACTACGCTTTATAATATGTCCTCTATGTGCCGTTAACGTTTTACTTGATAAATAGAGCAAGAAGGTCATAGGCTGGCTGAAATCTAGACTCCAGACGACGTGTATCCGTATCGTACGACTCCGCAGTACGCTCTACGCACCTAACCATTTAAACAAAAAATAAAAATTTATATTGTCAGAATATCGATTCCGAATGCTACAAAACAACATTAAATTTGCGTAGGCATATCGCGAAGTGTCGTGAAATTTTTCTGATTTCCATTCTGTAACAGACAAGCACGAGGAGATCGCGAGTGATGCTTTATTGTACAAATAAAGGGAACAAATGCTGCGTAATAGCAGGGAAAGCAAGAACAAAGCACTGATGGCTAATAGCAAGTGATGCTAAGTGGGTTCTTGAGCGTCTGTCAAGGCGTGAAAGAAGCAACTGGCGGCAAGCACGTGGTGTGAGCCATCAGCTGTGTGTTGATGCGCAGACTGGACTCAATCCAACGCGAGCGTATGAACGCTGAGTCATACTGCGAGAGTAGGGTTGCCAAATACTTGGCGAAGTCGACTTATCAAGTTAATAACTTGAGTTAATCGAAAAAACTTGTAGGAAAAGTCAAGTTATTAACTTGAACTTATCCTTCCAAACCAAGTCAACGAAGTCGACTTGGTTTGTGAAACCAAGTTCTCAAGTTCTGCTTCAAGTCGACTTGCGAGTTTTTAAAAACATTTGAGGAATTTTAAAGTAAACCGACATTTTCTGCGTTATATCTTTAAAATGTTTTGATAATGGTGTTGTACAACACACTTTCCATGTACTGTTCCCGCCATCGAAGTGAATTATGACCACACGGCTGCATAGACTGTATGTGCAGCCAGGAGGCAAAGCTCCGGGCGGATGACTGGAACAGTACATGGAACGCGTGTGTGACGCCTAATAACTTCCCTTTACGCAAATTTTCGTATTACTTTTTATTCGACTTCAAGTCGACTTGAAGTCGACTTCAAGTTAACAACTTGACTTGTGCTTCCAAGTTAAGTCAGAAAAGATAACTTGGATGTCCAAGTAATCTGAAAAGTTTGACTTTTTGGAAAAACCAAGTCGAAAGTCAAGTCAAGTTATTAACTCAAGTTTTCGGCATCCCTATGCGAGAGAGGGACGAGAGAGCAAGTATGCTCAGTGTGTGCGCCGCGTATATCCGCTTCAGCGGATATGAGTGCAGTGCAGCAGCACACGTACGTACAGCGAGAGAGGCGATAACGGCAAGCATGAGTGCAAGTACGTCCAGTGTGGACCGTACGCACCAGGCGCAGTCGTACGCCTCTGACAATTCACTATCACAAATTGTTTTGAACTTCGGGAAGATTATTGTCTTTTGACTTGTGTCAAAGATGATATAGACATTAGTGATGAAGACAGTATATACTATATAGAGTACTACTCGCAGTTTGCACATAGGTTTTGGCGGGGTAGCGTCATAAACGTACCTAGTACTCTGTATGCGCGGCATTTATTTTTTCACCGCCTCTGACTGCGAAACTAGTGTGAGTAGGTTGGCTCTTCATGTTAACCCTGAGACCTGATTCTGTTTCACATTAATTCTAAACAACATTTCTCACTGATAATGAAAAATCTTTAACCGTTAAGAATATGCAGACTTCAGCAGGTTCTTTTTGGTTTTCCGTACTCGACGCCTCAAGAACACGGAAAGTCATGATGAGCAAGCGAAGATAATTTGTCAGAAAACCAATGCAGCTATGATTAGCGATTATGTACCAGAACTGAGGAAACAACGGACCACCGGATTACCGGCACAGTTTATTGGAAATGGTACCATACCGTATGGGCAAGCGAGAAATACATACTTCGCATAAAAGGCATTATAAAAGCGTAAAAGCAGCCGCATAATTTTAAGTAATGCAAAGAAGCTTCGCGTGATTACAACAGTCAGTCACGTGGCTTCCATCTCGGCAAAGCACAAGGTCGCCAAGCACTACAATAAAGCAAGCATCATCAACGCATTAAGCACTCCCGATAGCATCCTTGGCGTCCCTCGGGATCAAAAGTCCTCTACCGGAGCCGGCGGACATTGGTCAGCCAGCACGCAGACGCTCGGATTGTTGTTGTTGCGCACCGTTCCTGGTTCGCAAACGCACTGGCGTGCCGAGAGACAGCCAGTCCAAATCACGGGGCACAGACTTTGGGGAGATTTGCATGTGCCTTGACACGTTTCACAACCGAACATCTCGTACGGACCAGAGCAGGGAGCGGGTAGGCATGTTTCGGGCAGCACGCAGGTTCCTTGGGCGGTGCGCACCATTCCGGGTTCGCAGACGCAGGCGCGTTTATCGGGGCAGTCGGTCCATCTCACCGGGCACGAAGGGTTGGGGTTGGCGCATGTTGGCTCACACCGTGGACAACCTATGATCTGGTGGCTGCCGGCGGGGCAGGAGACAGGCGGCTGGGTCACAGCGCCGCAATCGACCAAAAGTGTGGCGACTGCTAGAGCGGATGCAACCGCAATCGTTAGATGCATCCTTGCAGGGATAAGCAAATCAAAAACGAATACTGAATACGGAGAAAGCCGCAACGTAGATAAGTGACCAGTGTTTTGCAGAAAGTTTTCGCGCACCGCGGTACCACGTCTACATTTACTGCACTTATAGCAGATCAAGTATTCCTGCCCTTCTTTATATATCGATGTGTTAATTTACCCTGGCAAAGTTATTACTTTTTTTTGGAGCGTTTCGAATTTTGCCAAAAATTAAGCAATTAAAAATAAATTACTGCACAGTTGCATGCTGCCGAAGTACCTGGACTCGTTATCGCTTGCTGTCATCGCTTCAGGATCAGTGGTGGCAAAATGCATTTGGCGTTATGCGTGAAAGTTATTTCATGACTCTTAAGGATAATGGAAATTTGTCATGATGTTTAATGTATTCCGGCCGTAAATCCAGCCAAATACCGCTCTAGCCCAGTCATTTGTTCAGGCTGCAGTACATGTACTTCGAGTTTCATCTACGCAGAAATCGAAAATACTGCAAGTTACAGACGTCACCCGAGGCTGCGATTGCACATATTGATATGTGGCTTAAAGTATACTCGTATAAATTGTCAAGGTACGACATTTGCTTTACTCCAACCGAGGAGGAACATCCGGCAGTCTGCAATAATTTGCTCCGAGGTGTTCGTCGCGCATAGCTTAATTTATGGACGTCGTCAAAAATAATGATTATTTTTGCTGTCCCGTTAACGGTTAGCTATTACGGGAAATGCAGTTTTTACTTGTTTTGTAGAAAATACAATCTGGTTTATACTCTAACGCTGACATAGTAAATGATGAAAGTTTGTATGCACTCAGCTTCAAGGTAAGACGAAGGCGCCGCCACGGTCTAGGTGATGTCTAGAAATCGACGCGTATCTGTACTTATGCACAACACAGTGCTTACTGCATACACACCCAACCAGTTCCACAAAAGACGAAAATAAAAGATTACAATGTCCAGATATTATTCACACATAAATACAAAAATTCTTGCCAACGCTTTCCTACACAACAGTATTCCCTACTTCTTGAGCATATAACGTGCACGTAAATAGAATGCATTAGCGCGACACGCCTACTTCCGGTGCTACGTCATGAGAAGGCAAGCCAGCCATCTGCGCAATGCTTTATGGCTCCTAGGCTCCACTGGTTGCCATGTTAAGCAATTTTAAGTTTTAAAAGTTTAAAATGAGCGGGCTATAGCTTGAAAGTAAGAGAAAAAAATTTTAAGATTTTGGATGTATAATATGTGTGTAATTCAAGTCGATTACATGTTGTAAAAAGCTTTCAAAAAAAGAAAATGTATGCAATTAGCACACAACGGTCGCGCGGTCTGGACCGACCGTTGCATCGACTTTGTACGCTAACTCGGCTTACTTTCGAGACGTTCTAGAAATCTCACTTAGCTTTTGTTTCGAAGACGTTTGCATCATAAATCTTGAAATTTTTTTCTTTTTCTTTTGAACTATAACTCGGTGATCCCATAGCACGGAAGCGAAAAGCGTTCACCATAGCAGTCTATAGAGCCTACGAGCCTTTGAAGCACTGCGCTAGGGGGTTCCTTGCCTTACTGTGACGTCACAAACGGCGCGCGTACGCCTTCTCTTTAGTACCGCCATGGTAGAGCACGAATAAGAGCAGTACTTACTACTTACTTATGTACGTGAACTTATGTACGCAAATCAAATTTCCTCTGTGATTGGGCCGCCCCTCTCGAGTGATGCTTAATAGTGATTGTTTTCTAAGCTTCTGAAAAAGTTTTGGTAGAGAAAGTTATTAAAAAGGCTTATGTTCGGAAGAGCGAGGGAGTTCTCCGTATAGGAAGTTAACCCCGCCGGTGGCCTTTGTTCGGCCGGCTTGGGCGCTACAACATTAGCCAGAGCTGGAAGAACGGTGGATATGCTAATCTTAGTCTAATCAAGTACTGCCATGGCTCTACGTATTTCGTGCTCTTTGTTTTGAGACGTTCGGACCGCCCGGACCGGATGCAGCCCGCACGATAAGTCGATAATGGGATTCGAACAGATGATACGACAGGAAACCGGCGAAAAAAACGAGCCACGGAATAACTTCGCCAGCATCGAAATCCAACGAGGATAGGTGGCATCAATGCCGGGGACAGCGCCGATAGGGGCAAATTTAAATCACATTTTCTCTGTGATTAGGCCGCCTTTGTCGATTGGTGCTTGATGCGATCGTTTTAGAAGTTATTGTGAAATTTTTCTGTGAACTGCAGTAAATCAATAAAGAAGTCTCTGGAGATATATTTTAAAAGAGTAAGTACTGCTTGGCCGGGATAGAGTCGTTACATAATGATGTCACCTCTTGGTGGCCCTTTAATTTACCACCAAAGTGCAACCACCGCAATGCGGCGTCTCCATGACGTGTCGTGAATATTTACAGATTTTCATTTGCAGACTTGCAGTTACAAGTTACAGAATTATTTTTCACTTTCTGAATATCGGAAAAATTATTGGATTTTAACCTGTGAGTTTAAACTTCGACATTTGGCATTCTTTCTCTTCCATGAATTTCTTTGCAGTTTGCATTGAGTGATAAGCTGCCAATCCCATAAATCTAGCCATGTCCATGAGCGCAGCTTCGCCGACTCTTCCAGACAACGGAAAGCCTGGTGCAGGAATCGATGGGATTGTCCACTTCGTCAAGCAGCCATTGGCGAGAGGGGAGCTCAGCGATGTGCGCTTTACAGTGGGTCGCCACTTTGGCCAGATTCGTCAGTTTTCTGCGCATAAGTAAGAATTTTTGATGTACTGGGTTGATCTTGCCGCGGACGTTGATCGTGTGCAGGTTTGTCCTGGGCTTTCGCAGTCCCGTGTTCCGGACGATGTTTTACGGCAGACTGCCTGAAAAGGGTCAGGATACGATTGACATTCCGGATATTCATCCAGACGCCTTTGGCATCGTGCTAAGGTTTGTGAACTAGCGCGAGGAACTTTCTGTCTGTTGAAACTTGTTATCAGATTCGGATAGAGGTCGGCGCCTCTGATGTTGTTCAAAAGAGCCGACATCAAAGGAGACGCGATTTACGGTATTGTATGGCCGTTCTTGGTCTGGTTGCAGTTTCATATGCACCGACGATGTGGATAATCTGGATGCTGACAATGTTTTCGCCACCTTGAGATGCGCCGACAAATACGATTTGCTGAATCCAGACAACTGTTTGTCTACGTTGAAGGAGGTACCATCGCCTTACGACGTATGTCGTGAGTGTAAGCGCACCGATTTAATACGGGCTTCTTTTTGTCTGCAGGCTCTTGGTTGGCATGCGGAGAGCACCGTGGAAATATGTCTGGCTTTAGTGGATGCGAAAACGGCTGCAGTTTTGCGAACGGAGGCATTTGTTAACATCTCTCGATCGTTGCTGCGAACCATTTTGCAGCGCGACACGCTGACTGCGGAGGAAAACGCTATTTACTTGGCTGTTGAACGGCGCGTGCAGATAACAACACAATTCTGAATACTGCTCTAGTAAGCAGTAACAGGACCCCTACCGTCTACGTTTATCACCCAGTCTGATTCACCCACGCAGTTCACAATATTTCAACAGGTCGAGTGCTAATAAAAGCAGTTGTGGGGTTAGAAATCTTGAATTGGTTTAAGAGCCACATTCTAGATTTAAGTACTGTATCCGCTCGCACATCTTGAACCACAGAGTCCGTGTACGGGAAAAACACGCATTCAATATACACACTCTAACCGGGCAAAATGCACGACTACGAAATATTCCTCATTTGGTTTCAAGATGAACAGTTCTTCTTGTGAATTTTTGTTTATTAAATCAAGTCTTTTCATTTAAATGGCAATTCACTCTGGAAAAAAAAGGTTCTGTAGCTGAAAGCTCGCATTGTTCGGTGGTTCATCGCCATCAAGAATGTTGACGCGGAACGTACCCCTCCCCCTCCAGGGGCACCCCAAAAACCACAACAAAATCCGTTTGTAACTCGTGCTTACGCCAAAGCTGTATGTTAATGGCTGCTTTCGAGCCTAAACATGATAAAAATTGTTAGAGCTCTAATTTTTTTCATTATTCAAGAAGTTCTCCAGTCCAGATGTTGTAAGACATCAGAAATTTATCAAATCGCGAATCGCGCGTTTGGCCCGGTTAGAGTGTGTATATTGAATGCGCGTTTTTCCCGTACACACACTCTGTGGTCCAAGATGTGCGAGCGAATACAGTAGCCTTAAAGACATACAAATACAACGACGAGTTAACGGAAGCAGTATAGACTTTTAACGGAAACTAGAATCCTTGGTTTACCGGCAGAGTGTCCCTAACACAAAGCGCGTTGCCTCTATTAATGTGGATAGAAAAATGCTGCAGGAAAAGCCATTTGGGTGTGTCTGGCAAGCGGACAGAGGGTAACCCTCTTACCGGTCACAACTTTTGTGAGTTTTCTTAGACGTCGCACAAGTGACGGTTGGTGAGCCTAGGCAGAGCTGTTCCGCGTCCGATGCTATCCACTAGGCGCTTGAAGGCTTTGGTTCAGATTTCATAATCCTATTATGTGCCACGGATATTGTCTCTTGCAGGTGGGCAGCAGCGGCATGCACTCGTACCGGCACAGATGCTTCTGGTGGGAACCGCCGCCTGATGCTGGGTGGCGCGTTGTTTCTCGTACGATTTCCGCTGTTGGGTAACTCTCAGCTGGCTGAAGGTCCCGGCAAGGTAAGTTCGCGGAAGGGTAACGTAATGGTTTCTGAACATTATTTTGGCTTTTGTTGTGGCAGAGCGGTCTGCTGACCGATGCAGAGATGCTGAACTTGTTTATGTACCGGAATTCCTTGGTAAAGCCACAGGTCCCTTTTCCCACTGAGCACCGACGATTTTTAAGCGGACCCCAATGGCCGAGCTCGAGCATCTTTATCGATTTTTCTCTTGGCACTCTGGTTCAGACAAGAGGTCGGTGACTCGGTGGGATCCCGTCAAAACAAGAAAGGTCAACCTCCAGCAAAGCGTCGATAAAAAAGGTTCTGGTAGAGCCATGCTGAATCGGATAAGTAGGATTATAGTAAATGTTTATTCCCAATGCGGATTATTCGGTGCGGAGAAGGATGCCGAGGAATGGTAAACGCGGATTTATTTTCGACCTTAAGTTGATTTCTTCGATTCTTGCCATAATAAACTTTGAGCATTCTGATAAGAACTGAACGAAATTCTTGTTTTATTTGTTTTTTTCCCATGCACTGCAATTGCGGCATACCAATGTATGAACAGTAATGAGGCAATTTGATTTACTTCCGGTTTATAATGTTTCAGCATTCTGGCAGAACACATAATGTTACTTATACTGTTATATATTTTGCAGTTATGTTGAATAAACTGATCAGCTTCCGAGCTACCTAACTGGTTTCAACGCCAATTTCTGGATAAAAGCAACCGCAAAATGAAAAATTGCTCACCGTCTGAATGTGCTGTCCGCGTACAACTTAACTAAACTGTTGTAATAGCATTAAAACCTAGTTCTGTCATTATCTTATAGCAGGTCACTGATACATACAGCCATACGGTGCACTACTGGTACTCGCAGTCGTCGTTTGGTCTCTTTTCTTTCGGCCAATGTTTTCACAATCAGTCCTCGGATCGTACATATTTTTTCACTATCTATTGTTTGATTTCGCATTTAGTTTTCACCACCTGGCTATTCAAACGAAAGGTAACAACAAAAGCCGTTCACAAAAATCAAGACAACGTCTCCATTGCAAACCCCAACCATCAGCCAGTTTGCTATGCGTCAAGAGCGGAAATCGCACATGGAATAACGCGGTGCCCAACATCTAACGCCGGTTGGCGTCCGAAGCTTCCATCGCAAGGCGAGTACAGGCCGCCACTGCCCATCTACAACAAATGTTATCGGTAAATAACTGGAGCCCTCACATTTAACATGTTAACACACTTCGATGTTCTTTGCCTTTCGGACAACTTATGGAGTCCCGTGCCGGATGCCAGAGACGCAGTATTCTCTGCGTTGTTCCGCATTATTAAACTAAATTATTGTTTACTACTTAGTAACGTGTGAAAGCTGGTAAACAAAGCAGTTATTATGACGCAATCAATTTCTGAACAGCTTTAGTCGCGTGGAACAACGCGGAGAATACTGGTGTCCAGCACGCGGATTTATATTGAATACGAAAAATCGAAAAACGTCAAAGCATTTATTTTACGGAATTCCTGATGGAATATCCTTCCACACATCACTAACATAAGTGCCTATTACTGTATGAGTGACATGTACCACGATAACCCACATCAAAACTCATCTTAGGTCTAGGAAGTGAACCAAACGGCAGACTCAGCCGTGTCTACGCTTCAGTGTACCGTTCTGCAGCCAAGTAAATAACGTGCTCCTCCGCCGACAGCGTGTCGCGTTGCACAATGCTTTGCAACGTGTCCAAAGAGATATCGGTGAATGCATCCGTCTGCAGCACTGCAGTAGCGTTAGCATCCACGCAAGTCAGGCACGGCTCCACAGTGCTGTTCTTAAAACCCTGCAGCCCTACGTTTACCTCGTACAACGTAAACCACAGGGAAAAAGCTTAACTTTTATTTCATGACAGCTGCACTCCCGACAACTGTGTCCACGCAGTTGCATCAACTTATATACCACATCAATATGCATGCTCGCACAACACGCTCATATCGCATACAGCCACAAAAGCTATAAAAACACACGCACCAATCTGACCACTGCACATCCGCTCCTGCAGGCCAGATTAGTCCTGCCTTCCTCTCATTCACACTTGACCATCGGTCACAAACACTCATGCATATAAATGCATAACACCATAAAGACATAAATGTCCCGCACAAATATGATCATAAATGATACAGCTCAGACCGGCACAAACAACACCATAAAGATACATACAGCCATGCAATCCACGCTATCCGGTGTCCATGGTCGTAAACCACCACGATCGTAACACTGTGAGCATGCCAACACACAGCCTATAAGCCGCGCAACCAATCGTTCTTTTTTGTAACTTCTGAAGAATATAGTCACGCTAACATCAAGACATTCGTGCCTGTGTCAAAGTGGCCAAGCAGTTCTCAGCATTCAAATGGCCCAGGATGTAGTCGGAGCAGATCTGTACCATCTGCGGCAAATCCGATTTGCCGCAGATGGTACAGATCAGCTCCGACTACATATTTGTCGGCGCAGCCCATGGTGGCGAAAGCACTGTCAGCATCGAGGTGGTCAACTGCGTCCATGTACATGAAACTTCAAGAACAAAAAAACGGCTAATATCACAACTATGCCTTGCAAGAGATGAAAAGACAGCAATATCACATATCACAACAATTTCTCATGGCACGGTGCGTTATGCAGCAAAAACCATGTTTTACTGACAAGAAGGTAACACAATATGAGAATATCGACGCACCTCAGCAGATTGGCAAATACTGAATATCAGAATGTCGATGGCTTCCTCGCATTTCTCAAGCAAAGTAGCAAACTACCGTGGAACATCGTACGGAACACGGCGCTTCGAATGCTCAATACCAGTCTGAAAACAGTCCTTAAACTTCAGTTACCGTGGCACGTAATCAACCAGTTTGTACAAATAAGTAGATAACGAGGGACCTTACCTGTGTGCGGAAAAGTTCTGCACATTGCCAAAGTCACGTCCCACGGAGAAGCGCACACCGGGGAGTTCTCCATTGGCAAACGTTCGTTTCATTATATCAGCTAGTTGCTCCTTGCCCAGTTCCTGCTGCTTTGGAGTCTTCGCTGTAGTTTCATCTGTAGACATGATGGCTACGTATGCGGTAGCAGAGCAAGCAACAGTAGCAGGGCAGCGTCGTCAACAAAATAATGAATACCTAAAACCAATCACCCACTTGACCACTTCTTGCAAGTAAAAGTTGAAAAAATGAAATGGCCAAAATTTTTACATTTGCCAGGGGCCAAGGCTGTCGTACCACGGCGGTAAAACAGCCACCCACAGGCGAGGGTGGCATTAACACCTTCAAGTACTTACTCGTAGTAAACGTAAACATTATTAACAGGCGTTGTGAGACTTATATGATACATGACTTATATGACTTATATGACTTATATGACTTATATCATGTCTTGATACCTACTGTATCGCATATTTTGATTCATCATTTGCTTCACTTTCAGCCTTTTGAGCTGCTTCTAGTTCTAAGTTCCCGTGCGAATTCAGCTCTTCAGCTCAGCTCTTTATTCAGCTCTTGTGCCCGAGTAGTCTGTGACTCTGTGTGCGTTTTTAATCGCTTATTTGCGCAAAAATCTTTGACGTGGTCATATGTACTCGTATAGTTGATTCAAAGTCCAACGAAAAATATAATTGTACGGGCAACGGAACCACCGGCTTCTAGATGGGTGCGAAATCAAGTGGGTTAGCCAGTTGGGGAGATTTTGTTCTGCAAGCACTCGTCTCGATAAATCACAGAATGGATAAAAGTATTATACAGTAAAACGATTTCGTATTGACGAAAAACTATGACAAAATGTCAAAAACAGGGGCGTAATATGCGACTCCACACTGGCTACAGACGAATCATATACAGGCTGGTCAGAAATGACCGGACGACCCAGATACGGCGGAAATAAGGCAAATGGACGGCGCCATCGTCATTAAGACCTGAGGTCGTATTAATCGTAACTGCCGTTTGTGGGCGCGAGGACAGGAACCGTTTGTGGGCGCGAACGGAAAAAACTTTATTATAATGGAAATGGCAACTAAAAGTCCCATTGCGCCAATTCGTGTGGCGACTCGACGAACAAACGCCGGAATTACGAAGCCATCAAGGCGACATTAAAACTGCACCCAGTCTGCCGCTTGGTGCCGCAGCCGAATTTCATAACCAATAACCGAATTTAATAACAAATTAAAATTTAATAACCAATATACTTTACCGTGTAGGCGTGTACGTAGTGGTTTATTTAAAAACATAATAACTTAACGATTTCTAGTCACTTCCTTGATCTTTCTCCGCTAACTTCCCATGGACAATATCAGAAAATTTATAACTGTATGAGAATTTTTGATGTTTACTGCCCTTCCATCATAGCCTTACGCCAATCGATATTATGATGATTCATGCACACTATTCCTGTCCAACCGCGTCATAGTGTCGCTGCATTTCTGTTAGCCGTACTCGTAACAAGACGTAGCTCCGGCTGTTCTCGCATACTATCGATCAATTATCTACGCAGCGCTCAGCAGGCACAACGTCTTCCCCGTAGTGAGCAGATTCCAGATATAAGGCTTAAAGCTCTATAGTGTAAGCCACAATATCTGCTGCCAGTTTGCTTTTTGCCATCCGCCTGTTTCCATTTGAAAGACGTTTGTTTATCAGATACATAATCAAAATTCCCTAATCAGCTACTTGAACTGCCGAAATGGCCAGCCAGCGTCCCACAAAGAAGTCGACAAAATCGCGCTTCGATCGCTGGATACGCAAGTCCTGGGAAGAGTTGTCGCTCACTCCACGACGCAAAGACGCTCCCCAAACAGACGATGCCGAAGGTGCTCATACAACGTTACTCAGCGCTCCCCCGTCCTCTGCCGATCAGGGCTCTAGCATCGACGACAACAATTGCGGACAAATTCTGGGAAAAACTCTGCAACCAGTTGTGTACGAAGTCATAGAGGAGCAGTTCATTCTGGGTTATCTGTGCGACGTAGACAGGGAAAGAGAGCGCGTCCTGGTGGATTTCGACTGTTACGGCAACCCACCCTTGTGGCTGCCCGCCGCGAATGTGCAGAAGAATCGTCCACTAGATAGTTGGGATCTCCGCTACCAAAAAACGGTTGAAGCCGCTGTGCGGTTGGAATCCGACCAACCCTATGTATTTTATCCAGCGCGCATTATTTCTCACCATGACCGGCAGGACGGCGGCATGAGTCCGATTTGTGTAGAACTGACACCTGCGGGCGGCGATGTACCCATTCGGAAATTTGTCTATCCGCTCCAGCTGCGCATTGTGTGGAATTTTCAGCTCAGCGCGTACGCTCTCGAAAGACGCTCGGTACTTAGATGCTGTCATCAGCTTTTAAAACAAACAGCGCCCCTCGATTTTGGGCCGGATGCCGAAGGCATTGATCTGCAGCGGTTGTTGGAGGCGTTCAACGAAACTCCGCGGATAAAAGTGGTACGGCTATGGCTGGACACCCAGTGCGTTCACTGTGTCTATACGAAACGAGGAAAGGGTGTTTTCAGTGAGACGTACTTGAAAATTCTAGTTCAAAAATCGCGGTGTCACGTGATGGCGCCCGAGAAACTTGTGGACTTCAATATGCTTGGTGCCCATCGGGACAGTTCTTTGGTAAAGCTGCCGTATGAAGTGTTGGAGAGGACCGTGCTGGCAATCCAGGACATCCACAGCGTGGTTAGCGCTCGAAAGTAAGTTGCGAAAAAGCAAGCATGGTGCTAACAATTATTAAGACAGCCGAACTCGAATTTTCTAAATAGCGCTGCGTGCGAGCTTCTAGCTGTGTCGATCTGGAATCAGCGCAAGGTCATCAGTAGTCTTTGTTAGGTGTTCTCACGGTGTGACTATAATTGCGGTTGTAAGAATCAGTACAACACAAATTTACAGGCCCAGATGAGATCTTCGTTTATGTAAAGAACGAAAGCACCACTAAAAGAAATGCAAAAAAAACGGACTCGTGAATGTTTATTATGTCAAGCGTAGGGCAGGCATGGACAACAAGGTGAACTGATTAGGAACTTGATGCTGCTTTAGTACTATTTAAAATTCCAAAGACTGAGTTGCCTAAGGGGTTTTTATTGCAGAGTGTGCAAATGCTGGCACGACATTCTCGGTCGAAATGGCATTAACCAACATGTCGCTATCGACCTGACCAATTTGCTGCCCGAATCCTCCAACGGCCCGGAGCGAAATTATAACCGCACTCATCTTATAAACATCCTCGACACTATCGTGAATACAAAGACCGTGTCGCTGACGCTGATAAACGGCGATCTAAGTATGGAATTCGGCATGTACATCTTTGGGTTTCTGTCGATTAAAGTAACGCGTTTGCAAATAATCTTCCTGAAGAATGTAGTATTGTCATACGCCGTGGCATTGAACTATGAGAAAATTGAACTATGAGAAAAAGCGGCTGGAGTGGGCCAATCTCAGTCATCTAATGCAAGCCTGCCGCGTACTGCATCTGCGCAACGCCATCGTTCCTTCCCTCTTCGGCTCCATCGCCGGAGTGTTTTCCGTGCCGGCCGAATCTCGGTTGGACATCGACGGTTTTGTGGAGAAACTCGTGCTGGACTGCACGCTTGATGAAGCCGATCGGATGCAACATTTTGTGAAGGCTTTAGACGCTAGTTGCCCCGCGTTCACGGATTGCGAGAGAAAACACACTGACGAATCCTACCGTTCGACACTTTCGCGTGCCGAATATCCGCTACGAAACCAGCTCCTCATGATCCAGCTGTAAGTGATGTGTTTATTACTCTGTGCACACGTTTTTGTGAAGTGGTAACATGAAATTAAAAATTATCTTTAATTAGAGATCTGGTATGTCTAGGCTGAATCAAGCGATAACCGGACAAATGCAACCACCGTTGTCCAGACTCGCCGCCTATGCCTTCCGTTGCTCTTATCCCACGGAGTCATCCCCCAGCTTCGTCTCTGGCAGCCGTCATCTTTCCCGCCCAACGTAACGTGATACGAGTCACATAGATGGAGCATTCCGGAATTAAAAGCAGTTTTGTTTACCTAGTGCAGTTTAATAATGCCCTCTTTGGGTATCACGGTCATTCTGCCTTATCAGCAATCGATGTTTTGTTGTAAGCGCGCCCGCATTCTGTGCAGGATTGCCGTAGGACATCAGCGCAGCGGATAAATTCATCGACTCCAGCGCAACAAATTTTTGAAGTTTCTGCCAATGTATAGTTTTTCAAGATACGGCCGAAAATACACTTTTATGGAACTACCTGGATGGGTGCGTAATTAAGTCGGTTAGCCGGTTGGTTGAATTTTGTTCTGCAAATCAGTGGACAAATTACGGAATGGATAGAAGAAGAGAAGTAGTAGAACCAGCGGTTTGATGGTAGTACACATAGCGGGCTCTCCTATTGGTCGGTTTAGCCTGAGTACCGCCCCCTATAGTCTAGGGTATACAAATAGCGGAATATGGTCTGTACACTGTACTGTATATACAGATCAGTCTGGACTGATGGTGTGTACGAATAGCGTACAGTTCATGTACTGTGTACAATAGCGTATTGGTTGGTTTGATCTGAATACCGCCCATAATGCACCGCGTACAACAGTGTATTGGCTAACATTATATTACGATGCCACTTTAAACCAGATGTATTGCACTGCAGTGACTTGTGATCAAGTGCACAGGTCAAACTTTCCAAGTCATCATTCTTAGTTTTCACTTCTGTAAGTCACCATCTAAGGAATTATATCTGCAGCACTACAACTGGATTAACGTGCGTGATCGTGTGCTATCATTATGAAAGTTGTTTTGCTGGAAACTGCAAAGATCGTTTGCACGTTTGAAAGGGTTTTATTTTAATGTTATCATTGTTGATGTCCGCGTTTTGTTAATTTTGCACTCGGATCTGTACTGATTTTGGACTATTTCTCATCTTGTACTGATTGACTGGCACGGAACAGCACGTGTTAGTGCTGGCGGAGTAGAGAAGTGTCCGCATTCTGGAGAAACTCCATACGGTAAGTGAATGTGTACGTGTTAAGTACTTTTTTCCGCACTTTCTCATAGTTTTCATCCCTGCATACATTTAGTTGCACCAAGTTATACCTTCTTTGCGTCGTTCACAAATTCTTTCTTTGAGATTCTCTCTGTTTAATTACTGTCTCTCCTTCAACTTTGACGCGACAATCTCAAGATTCTTATTGTGCTACGAAGTGCATGGCGCCGCACCAGGTGCATTCTCACTTTCGCTTCTTTACTTTCCCACGTGCTTCATATGACAATCTCAACATTCCAGCTGCCTAATTATCTGTCCTGTGACTCTGACGCGACATTCTCAAGTTTCTTTCATGCTTGACGCGACATTTTCAAGATTCCTATTGTCTTACCGTCTTGCTTGGCGCCACGCCAGGTGCATTCTCACAATCCTTACCACATGCTGCATAACATTCCACCTGTCTGATTCCTGTCTGTCCCTGAACTGTGCCTTGACATTCTGAGATTTTCTTGCTCGACACGAGATTCTCAACTTTCCTACATGTTTGACGTGAAAACTGAGTCGCTACTGATGGTGCATGCAATTTTTTGAGATGATAAAACATGGTTAAACTTCATCGGGCGCCACTTTTTAGATGATAACACATGGTGCAACTTCATCGGGTAGAGCTTCTGAAATGATTTTTTTTGTTTTTTTTTTGTTTTTTTTTTTGCGAAACATGCAACACATGGTGCAACTTCATCGAGTGCAACTTGCACAACTTTCTAGATGATAACACATGGTTCAACTTCATCGGGCGCAATTTTTGTTTTTTTTTGACATCGTGTTTTGTAACCACAGGCCAATATGGGACGATGCAAGCAAGTTCCGGTACGAAACCGGAGTCGCAGAACGGTTTTTCTAGATAAAGAAAAGTCGCCAATCCTTTCAACACCGAGACCGTCTACTTCAGTTACTGGACAATGTCCAAGATGCGGAACCATGGTTTCCAAGCCTATAAGTGCCCACATCTTGCAACACTGCTCGTATATTTCCAAGTGTTTCAAAGAATTTGCAGAAAAAGAAAGTTCTGCGGCTAAACGGGCTGTGGATGCGCTTGAAACGCTGCACTATCCTGGAAAACGGTTTGTTAAGCAGTTGGATAAAGTGACCAGTGCCTTGGCTCATGGTTCAGGTGTTCGCGTGGCGAGAACATTCCGTGCTGACCAATACAATCGCTATATGACCGACGGGGATTTTACCGACTCTTGGTCGCTCAGCAATCTTGCTGCATCGCTGGACTGCGTCAACTTGAAAAGTCTTCTTCAGATGCTTGCAACGAAAGGCAGCTTCTTGATTCCTGTGTCAACAACAAACAAGCAAATGCACAAAGATCTTATCTCTCATGTGTCCGTGATGGCGCTACTCAATAACGGTAAAGATTTGTTTCTGAATTTCAATGATGTCATGTCATGTCATGTCTTTCGTAGGCCCAGAAATAAAAATCATGTTCTTCAATCCAAGTGGCAAGAAGTGCTCGTCCAAATTCATTGGCCGCGCCTTCATCGAAGCTGTTCTGGATGAGTCTAAGCCGTACCCTGAGTTGTATAACTTCTTCCATCAACAATGGCCGGAGATACCTAAAGACTTTCAGCACCTGCTGCCTGACAGCGTACAACATGGTGCAACATTGTTCAGTGAAGCATGCACGCACTTGTCTCGTTATTTTATCAACACCACTTTGGAAAAGGTAAGAATCGATATTTTCTTTCTTTATTTCATTTTTCAATTATGATTTCTGTACAGGTTGTTTCTGGCCAAGATATACGATTTGCCATGCGTGACACAGCTGTCGAAATACAGCTGTTTGGTTGGCAAATTATTTATTCCCGTCATACAACGTTGGAAAAGAGCAATGCCCTCCGTAACCAGATTCAAAAGCAAATTGGCTGCCACTACATTCTAAATTTGGCCACAGATCTTAGGTATGGCACAGAATTCTACGTGTAAGCAGTACTCTAGCTAATCAAGGGCTTCTTTTGTAGTTCTGAGCCTTCAACATTGAATAAAGTGGATACTAACTACATTGCTGCCATGGATCATGATCTCATGGATAACGACAACGACTTTGACGACTACGGATATAATTTCGGCCAATTCTTCAATCCTTATTCACCGCCTGGTAGTCCATTCAACTGGTCACAAGTCTACACACCACCGCAATCGCCAGCCACACAATCCGATGAAACGCATGAACCCATGGAAGTTACTGTGGAAAACGTCCTGGATGTGGATGAAAATGTTCAGGCAGGTGGTGCAGAGGCGATGGATGTCGACGTGCAAGACAACGACGACGATGTGGAAGAAGCTATTGTTGCGAATCATGTTCCTTCCCAGGAATTATTCAGCCAACCTGTTCAGAATGTCAACGTTCCTGAGTCAGACCAATCCTTACCGTCGGAATCGGACTGGTCCAAAGTTTTTACGCTCCAGAAGATAAGTCACAATCACAACAAAAAGTTCAACCATCATCAGTATTTCTACAGCCTCAAAATCAAGTCTTTGCCGCAAGAGTTTGATACAGTAACGTCATTGGAAGCCCTGCCTGAAGTGTTTAAAGCAGTTTGGAAAGCCTGTTCTAAAGATTTCCAGCCGGACGACGCTGTCTGCCTAACACTGTTCACCCGGACTATGGAAAATCCCATGCATTTAAAAATGCAGTTCTTCAATAATTTTAATCCGCGCGACCTGACGGAGATGGTAATGAAGATCAACTCAGGTGGACTTTTCTGTATCGATGATTCTCTACGGCTCGTTATTCAACGTACGGTCATTCCCGCTGGTGGTGCTGCTAAGCGCAAGCATATTCACTCAACCCACGATCGGAAACGATTTGCGACTTCAATTGTGCAAGTTGATGTCGGTTATAATCTGTGTTTGCCAGCATGCCTTGTGCTTGGACGGTTCTATCACGATCCTGCAAAGAACACACGGAACTGGAAGCAACTGACTGATAGACGAGATAAGAAAATACAAGGACTTGCAGCGGATTTGGTGGAAGAAGCTGGACTTACTGTCGGAACCAAGTTTTCCTTAAACGACATTGAACGATTCCAAACAACTGTCCTTAAGGAGTTCCAGATCAAAGTTGTTAGAGCCGAACAAGGTAACATCATTATTGCCAGGTGTCCCGAAAGGCAGGGTAAGCTGAAAACCATCTATCTTCTGTACGAGAATGGCCATTTTGATCTGATAACCAGTCCATCCGGATTCCATCGACGTGGTTATTACTGTGAGTTGTGTGACAAGTCGTACGTTCAGAAAGAAAAACATCGATGCCAAGGCAAATGTCTCAAGTGTTATCGCCCGAAAGAAATCTGTACCGAGCCAGAGGCATCCAGCAGGATTCTGTGCCAAGATTGCAATCGCGAGTTCAACAATGACACCTGCTTTGATCTTCACAAGAAAGAACGCAAAAACGGGCGGCCATATTGCACAGAATTGTTTATCTGCCCGAAATGTGGAGTGTTTGTCAGTTTGCTTAATCGTAAGACCAAGAAGCACGAATGTGGTGAAATGTATTGTCACCCGTGCCAGGATTGGGTAGATCAAGCGACTCACAAGTGCTACCTTAAACCTTTAGAGCCTCGTGTTCATGGATCAAGTTCGAATTACATCTTTTCGATTACGAGACTTACGTGGACGCGGAAGGAATTCATAGACCTTGTTATGTCGTCGCACAATACACGAGTGGAGAAGAGTTTCGCTTTCCTCCAGATAATGTGTTCATGACCGGTTATGATGTTCAGAAAGAATTTGGCCAATGGGTATATTCAGAGAAACACCGAGGATACACATTGATTGCACACAACTTTCGCGGTTACGACGGACACTTCCTACTTTCGTATCTTCTGGAAAACAATCTCAAAGGAGTTGAAGTCATACGACGCGGCAGTCAACTTCTTGATCTCCGTTACCCGGCTTTGGAAATCAAGGCGCGCGACACTCTTAACTTTGTCATGACGAAACTATCCAATTTTCCGAAAGCTGTTGGTCTGACCGATTGCGAATCCAAAGGCGATTTCCCTCATCGCTTTAACAAGCCGGAAAACTGGGACAAAGTGCTTCCGTTTCCCGATGTCGATGAATACATAGTAGACGGCTTGAAGCGAGCGGATCGGAGAAAGTTTGAACAGTGGCATGCCGAAGAAAAAGAAAAGAAAGGTATGGCTGGTGCTTTTTTTTTTTTTTTTTTTTTTTT